GAGTGATGTGAATTCCCCCAGAGACTCCATGGCGGGCAGCACCTCCACGGGGTTGATTCGCAGCGCCAGGGGACCCTGCAGGGGTGGATTTCTCAGGAGGATCTTTCTCCAGTGTCCAATGTTGGGACAACTGAGGGTCAAATTGATCTTGGTGGGGCAGGAGGTGGAGCTCTCCTGATCTGGGAACTGAAGAAAGACTGCTCTTTAGTGTAAATGCAATGTTTCTTTTTGAAAAAAAATAAATAAAGTAAAATCAAATAAATCACAACGGGAGCTGCCCAAATTTGATCGGTTTCTTGCAATGAAATGCTTTTCTTGAGTTCACACCAATCTTATTTTTGAAATGTGGACAATCAGCATCTTGAGGAGCTTATATCAGGAGCTTTGTATTTGAAAAAATTATTAGAAATACACAAACCTGCACCTGTGCTTTATGTCCAAAAAATATAAAAAAGTATTATTGTCATGCAAAGAATGTCAGGAAAATTAACAAGATACAAATATTTGGTTTATTTACCCCCTCGCTACGTTTAAAAGGCACAGTTTGGCAGACAAATTTTTGTAAATGGCATCTTACGTCCCCTTAGTGAAACACTTAGGAAAAGTGCAGAGGGATTGTGACGCTGCACCTGCTCTGTTATTAATCGTCTGAGGCGGTCAGGAGAAAAGTGTCCTCTGTGAAACAGCAGCTCTCCGCTTTCCTCCACACTCAGGCCAGCCAAGATCAGCAGCTTATGAGCAGACGCTCTGGACAGCAGGGCGAACACCTGACAGGGAAACAGAGAGGGAAAAATATGGGGCCTCGTACATAAAAGAGTGCACAGTTTTCACACCAAAACTTTGTGTGAAAACGGAAAAATTTAGAAAAATGTAGAGTTGATTGGCCTTTTCTGCAACAAATACTCTAGGTCAGTTTAGAGCAAACTCCAGTCCTCTAGGGCCGCTGTCCTGCAGTTTTTAGATGTGCCACAGGTACAAAACACTGAAATGAAATGGCTTAAAATCCTCCTTCTTGTGTAGATCAGTTCTCCACAGCCTTAATGACCTAATTATTCTATGCAGGTGTGGTGCAGCAGATTCACATCTAAAAGTTGCTGGACACCGACCCTCGAGGCCTGGAGTTTGACGCCTCTGATCTAGGATTTGTTTCTGTTCTAAAGACCTTGGGAACTAAATCCACATGCTCATTTCAAAACGCATCAGTCAGAAATGGATACACGTGTCATTCACTGGCTATCCTTCATAATGTAAAGACAGCAGTCCTGCTCCATTTCAGACCGAATCCTGAGCTTTCAATCGACATAGGACTTTTTTTTTTTTACCTCTGAATGAGCCAGTTCCTGAGATGGACTGATCAGCACTTGTGTGTCCAACACTTTGGTACAGTGGCGAAGACACTTCTGTCCTGGGGAGCCAGAGAGAGAGAGAGAAAATGAGAGAATGAGAATGAGAGAATGAGAACACAAGCAAACAGAGAAGGACACAGAGAGAGAAACACGAGAGTCAGAGCGCTGGGAAACACAGCGATAGATCTGAGCAAAGAGCTGGAAAAAAAAAAGTCAAAGAGAAAGTGATTTGTGATAATCAGACGGGTGATTGAAACAGAACAAGGGGAAGGAAGAGGACGAGAACAGCTGAGTCAGATGGCTGTCTGCAGACGGTGTGCCAGCAGAGGAAATCCAGTCTGAAGGGAACTGGCTCACCCTCTGAAGTCTGAGTTTGGCACGAAAATCCTGGCTTTATCAGGAACACGTCCCTTTTTTTGATCTTGTGCCACCGTGATGTTTCATGGCGCTGTCCAGATAAAGAGACATGTGCAGGAGATTTGAGTCATCAGTGTTTTGTTTCTGAGCAGTCAGATTTCCTGTGATCATGTAAAGTGTTCTTGATCAGTAGATGTTCTTCCTTTGGATTATTTAAAAGCCTTCACTCATTTCCAGTCCAGAAGACTTTTGTTTCCATTTCAGAGGAAAGGCATTCTTCTTTTCACTGCACTGTTCTGTACGTAAAAACAAGCCAAAGTTGCATTTACGTAAAGTAAAAACAACTTTACACACTCTAATTTTTTATATATATATTTAGTTACTTGCAAGAAAAAAAAAATCCTCACAAATAAAATTATATTTTAGGTGTTAAACCTTTAAATTTGGCACAGAGCAGATGATCTATATGAGGAAGATGCCATTTTTGGACTTTTCTTGTTTCCGTTGGACATCCTTTCCACATGTCCTCTAAATCTGCTGAAAATTGTTTTTCTTTTTTGTTCTGTTTTTTGGTTGCTTCTCTTTTTTAAAAGTTAGTCTCCCTACTTTCTTTTCAGAATACACTGCAGACCAGGCAGACAGTGTGTGTTTCTTTACTAACTTCTCCATGGAAAATAACATCATACCCATGAATCTCTGGTTTATTTTGCATTTTTTCCATAAATTTACTGATAAAAGGAAACCATTTATATCCTGTATTAACATGCACTTCTCTTTGCATGACTCCGGCTCATTTCTGGAGTGTAAACAAAGCTAAAGAAGCATTTCCACCAGCCTTTATTTCAGAGCAACAAAGCTGCTGGATTCAGCTACATATTTACAGTAAACGCATGAGAGCCTTATTGATCCTCTCATCCAACGTTTGGCAAGAAAGTCAGAGAACGCATTTCCAGCAATGCAATCCTTGCACTTTCCGTTTGCTGCATTTTTCCCGAAGATGGGCACAACTCTGAAAAACAAAAGTCTATTCACAACAACGTCCACTGCAAGCAATCAGCTGCTCGTGACTGCGCATGTTAACGTGCAACAGATTACGTGTTTGCACAACTGGTTGCAGGTTCATTGTTTTCCATCCTGAGGTTACACCCACGTCTAACAATTGGTAAAGCTGCTTCTCACTTTCCTTCCTTCCTTCCTTCCTGAAGTGGCTGAGCTGGTGCCCGACCAACACTTTGAGTGCATTTGGACCTGATTTGTTGTTCAAGAAAAGCGTCTTACCTGCACCTTTAAAAGACGCCGTGTGATGGGAGAGGAACTCTTGCAGAAAGAGATCCAGGTTGCAGGATTTTAGGTCCACGTCCCATGACCGAATACCTGAAGGCATACAAAAAATAAGTTGACACATACTAAAAAAAAAAAAAAACAACTTTCTAATTTCCAGTAAAATACCAGCAGCTGTGGTTGCCACAATTTTACTGTATATATACAGGAAAATCACAAATTAGAGACGTTTTTTTGTTTCACAGTGCAACTACTACATTCTTTTTAAGGGCTAAAATGGTCACAAAAGATAATGGGATTATTGTGGGAAAAATGTATTTTTATAAAATATACCAAAAGAATTACAATTTCAACTTACAACTCTACTGTAATGAAGAGTAAACTGGCAGATTCCAAAACTCTCACAGATAAATTTGTGCTTTTCATAAAATAAAAAAAATTAAAAAGTCTTTAAAGGATTATACATTTAAAATGTAATGCATTGTGTCAAAATAATTGCCAAGTGAAAAAAAAATGCATTAAAGATATAATAAACTGTTGAGGCTTTCTAAATCCAATTGATAGCTTAGAGACAGCTGCTTTCATCTGAAATGTTATAAAATGTTAATTGGCCCAGTTAAAGTCCAAAGTGGCTCTCAGCCATCATTTATTTCCAGCTTCCAGCGCGTTTCTCATCCAGATGCGTCAGTAAGCGAGCAGTAAACGGGACGTAATCTGCTGCATTCACAGATGATGCTGAGCATGAAGACAACAAACGGTTAATGAAACGTCGGTCACTGGATATCCCCGCTACATTTCCCCCTAAAGCTCGTCCTTACATAACGGCGAGGAAACACGAACCCATCGCTCCTGACTGCTTTTAATTAAAACGCGCCCGGAGGGGAGAGGAGGATGCTGATGGTGGCGGATCGCCAGATGACGCATCCTCGGTGCTCGGGGTGGATGAAATTACAGAAACCCTGCAAAGAGGTCCCGCTGTCATCCCCACGGAAGGGGAACTAGATTTGGTGTTATTCCTTGCATTTAAAAAAAGACCGTACAAAGAAGGGGAGGGAGAAAAACAAAAAAGAACAAAAACGCATTGAGCTTCGGTGACACAAATACCTGCAACCCACCTCGCTCGATCTCCTCCCGGATGTGCTCCGTATGTCTGTGGCGGGCCGTCCGTCCGATGACAGCCAGCAGGGAGTATTTGTGGGGGCAGAAGTCCAGGGTTGCGGTCTTGGGCTCCTCCTGGACCTCTCTCTCCAACACCCGGCCGGACGCCATGTTGGGTGTGATGTCATTGAGGACAGCAGACGGCGCAGCGCCTGTTATGACAGGAAGCTGACGGCTCTTGTGCTGGAATGCTGCTGTGGATGCTTCATAAATCAATGGCTTTTTTTCTTCTTTTTTTTTTTCCACGTTTAGACCTCCGAAATTTTAGCACCGCGTTATTTATCTTCTATAGCTCGTGCTTGGGAGAAATGTATCGACTGATACGTTTTATTTTATCGATATTCAAGACAAAAGATCAACCTCTTTATAACACTGCATTTCCATGACGTGATACCATTTGTTGTGTCACATGTGCAAAAATAAACACGTCTCCTTGATTTTTGAAAGTTAGTTTATTGTTCTTGACTCTTACAAATGTATTTGTAAACTGGCTGTAAGCTTTATGTTCCACAATGATGGACTAAATCAGGAGAAAATGGCGTCAGAAAGTTTTTTTTTCACACATTCAAACATATATAACTGTTTTTTTTAACCTGAAAATCAAAATGGGCACATGAAAAGAAACAGGGCACTGACGTCTTATCATATTTTACATTCATCACTTCACCAGTCACAATTGCAGCCCTTTCATACCCTAACTGTACAGATTTACTGTTTCTACACAATTTGTCCTTATCAATTTACTCATAGTCTATTTATGTGAACATTTCATTTTAATTGTGGTGAATATATACACACCAAGTGGTGTGATCAAGGGTCATAAACAAGTGGACTTAACGGATTAGGTCAACAGGTGGGTCCCAAAGAGCACTTTACTTTTTATTCATAACATAGATGTCAAAATGTCACACTTGTTTAATAGTACATTAAACGTTAATTACTGGATTGGTATTAAACCATAAGAGTTATTGGAGTCCCAGACAATTTATTCTCTGCTGTTCAAATTCCACTAAGATCAGCTGGCTCAAAATAAAAGGACAGAGGATAAATGTTAAAGATATGAATTATCTGTAGATTTTGAACAATTTGTGACTGCCATAGATATTTTCACAATGCACTGAATACCAGCTGCAAAGAAAAGCAAACCTTTGAGTAACAGTCACAGTACATCGGTGCAGCATGGCTGAAATACAAGGTGGAAGGAACAAAATGACCACGTATGAAAAAGAAAATGGCAAGATTGACCCGAAGTCATTGGTCACCTGTGCGCTCCTGTCTCTTCTTTACAAGCATTTGAGGACGTAGAAGTTACAGGCAGTCCCCCGTGGACAGCTGCACAGGGTGCCGATGCGTGCACCTTTACGGACAGCGCACGGCTCCCCTGCATCACACTGCACAGATGAAACAAGCGAGTTAATTGCAGATGCGCACAGGGGTTTTTGTATAGACTGTGAGTGACACGTTGAGTTTGTATTTGACACTGAAAGCATGGAATCACATTAGAAATGGGTTATGGTTTTCCAAAAACTGAAGAAGAAAAATAGTGCCATAACCTAACAGTACAGTCAACTCATTTTACATTCACTTTATCTCACACTATGTAAACTTTGGCTTGTGTGACACTTTGAAAAGAAAGCGGGGAAATAAAACAAAGTGAAATAAAATGAAATGAAATAAAATGTTCAGGTTGTTGTTTGTGCTCTGTTTGCTTACTGAGGGTAACCAGCCAAGCTTCTTCTCCAGGGGCATTTCTTTGTTTCTCAGCTTTTCTAGAACTTCTTGCAAAGCATCGATCTGAAAGGGAAAACATATTTAAAAACAAAACAGAGGAAGCTCTAGCTTGGCATTTAAAATGTCGATGAATGTTAGAAATCTCTCACCAGGTCTTTCTCCTGCTGGGTTTTCAGGGTGAAGTCTACGGAGCGTGTCTCCAGCGAGGACTCCTCGGCTCGGGACGTCCGCAGGTAGGCACAGCAGGTGGCCGTGAGGAGGAACAGGAGGGTCCGGACGCTGACCATGGTGCTGAAATACAAGTCAGAGGAGTATTTCTCAAAGGAGAGTGGAGAGATATATTTGTGAAGAATGTCCCAGCAACACGGCCCCCTTTTTATATGTGCTTCACGGAGAATGGTGACATCAGCCAGCCTCTGAAATATTAATCTAAACTTTGACTTGTGTGACACAGATCTGCAACTTTTTTTTTTTATCTTTGGAAAGGATTTAACCAACGGAAATGAAAATTCACAAATTCAAATTGTGTGGTTTTTTTCTCATCTTTGTGGATTTCTCAGCAAATATGCTTTTAATTTCAGCTGGACATTGTCAGATTACACAAAAGTCAATAAAAAGAAATACTCTTTCCAAAATTCCCAATATTACACTAGGACTCACTCATGAGTCACATTGACGTGCCAAAGACTTGAGGCTCTTGTGAATGTGTCAACTCATCCATCATAGCATCACAAAGAACAATTGTTCGACTGAGTGTCAGCTCTAAATTAAGTCGTTGAACAGTTTGGATCTATCAGAGTTGAATTCTTCATGAGCACAGACCATTGTTCATCTATAATTCAACACTGCCTGCCTGTCCATCTTCTGATGTTTTCACTTTTCAATGCAGCCTTAATAAGACCTCAAATTAACCTGCTCTGACACCAATCTGTAATCAAGATTTCATTTCCTCCTTCACGGATGGCCTTCGCCCCACCACCCCACGCTCCTTCAAAGGAAACGGACGTGGGCAAATGTGAGGTAGACAGACGTGTGTTTGCTCATTCAAGCCATGTCAAAGACCTTTTACTCTCATTACACCTGACAGGCCACCAAACGGAACATAACTTCTTTCACTGGCTCATGAAAAAGATTAATTAGAGCGTAAATCCTCCAATGTTCTTGTCTGTCTATCTATCTTGGAGGAGAAAGTTGTTGTAGATGGCCACTCACACCAGTAGGGGGCAGCAGCATATCCTGAAAGTCGGAAGCAAGCGACGCAACAGGAAGTTTATAGTCCAGCGATTTAGCTTTGTGAGCTAATCCTTTGGTTTCTCTCTTTGCGTTGTATTACAACCAAAAGCAACAATGTCCGAAAGAAAAGTCTTGAATGTAAGTCACCAAAAGAGAACATTTCTTTTAACTTAAGGGATATAGCTACATCTTGGAGGAATTACAGAGGGTTAACGTTAGCAGTGATGCTAAGTGCTGTGTTTAAACTTTAATGTTTTTTAAGTTGTAATGTTATCATTAATACGTTGAGGTTTTACATCACGTAACTGTTAGTTATTGGTCCGTTATTGCGTGCACTCAACGGTAAACCTTGCTCCAATATTCTACTTTTCTCAGAAATACTACCCTCCGGACTTCGATCCTGCCAAAATCCCAAAACTTAAACTCCCGAAAGATCGTCAGTATGTGGTCAGATTGATGGCTCCGTTCAATATGAGGTATGTTTGTTTATTCTAATGGCTAAATTGGGGGGAAATAAGCTTATTTGCTCCGTTTGTCCGATATAAAACGTCGCAGCATCATTTCAGATATGCTGAGGATGACTGTGCAGATTATATTTCTCTATTATTCCTATGTTACATTAAAAGAGAATTGTTGATTTAAAGGGGAGTGGTACTTGAATTATTATCAATTTGTTAACCATAGAAACTCAAAGCAAACACGAGTTATCACCTTCATTTTGTGCCAAGATGTCACAAACAGACTCATTGCTTTGAAGAAACGTTCAGAAAAAAAGTACCTGGTTTGTAAGCAAGGAAGCAACTCACCCCTCCTAAGAACCATGAAAGATAAACTGATTTTCTAAAATAAGTAGGAAAGAACCCAAAACCTTGGTACCTCTTGGGGGAAATGAAAAGAGCTTCATCTGATGAGCCCTCTTCACAGTGTTTAATATTAATTGTACCTACTTTCTGTTTGTAGATATAATTGTGCTTTATGTCAGTTGCTTTGTGGTCAGCTATCTATTGAATAAGATAAGGCCCTTATTACCAGATTAAATAAACTACTCGCTACATAATTTCAGATTTTAGGTGAGAAACATTTTCTAAAAGATAATATCTCCTGGTACGCAGGTGTAAAACATGCGGCGAGTACATCTACAAGGGAAAGAAATTCAATGCTCGTAAAGAGACTGTTCAGAACGAACAGTACATGGGACTGCCAATCTTCCGATTCTACATCAAATGCACTCGATGTCTTGCTGAGATCACATTTAAGGTGAGGTGTAAATATCAGATCATTGTCACAAACTACTGCTGGCTTTTTTTGTCATTTAAAGTCTTGTAATATGAATCAAACAGTTAACTCAATATGATATTACAGACTGACCCAGAGAATACGGACTACGCCATGGAGCATGGCGCAACACGTAACTTCCAGGCTGAGAAACTCCTTGAGGAAGAGGAGAAGAGGATCCAGCAGGAGAGGGAAGATGAGGAATTAAACAACCCCATGAAGGTCTTTTGCTTGATCCGCCATGTTTGTTGCTCTTGCTAGAGTTAACACAAAGAATGAAGAAGTGATTGTGGCTTGATCCGTCGCCAGGTGTTAGAAAATCGTACAAAGGATTCCAAGATGGAGATGGAAGTTCTGGAGAACCTCCAGGAACTGAAGGAGCTGAACCAGAGGCAGGCTCTGGTGGACTTCGAGGGAATGATTGATAAATATAGAGAGCTGGAAAAGAGAGAGAGGGAGCGAGAAAAAGAGGAGGATGAGCGCGAAACGAAGTGAGTGACAAAGGACCAAACAGAGTAAAACATGGCATCAAATCTGCACACAAAACCAGTCTGTAAAGTTAAACAATTTTTTTTGTTTTTTTTTCCCCCAGAGAGATGTTGGACCGTGTGCTTGTGAAAAGACTGAGAGACTCTGACTCTGATTCAGACAGAGAGGAGGAGAGCAGCAGCCAATCAAAGAAGTCCTGTGAAGACAAACCAACAGATATCCTCACCACTGACAAAACTGATGTGCAGGTTTGTGGAAACCTTGTTGCAGAAAACAGTTTGAAAGAAATCTCATTATTTGGGTTCTTTTTTTTTTTTTTTTTTTAGCTAATGTTTAATATTTCAGTATCACAATTTGAATTTAATAAATTTCTTGTGGGGGATTGTTTGATTTTGCACACATAAATAATGTACATAGTTCTTCAGTATTCAATTTTTATTCTTCTAAAAGGTCAGTCAAATACTTAAAGATGTGTAAGAATTTTCACACGGCACAATGTGGTAGATAATGACAGCCTATTGTCACTAACTTTGACAGTTTTCTGCTTTATCAAATATTAATAGCCCTTAAACAAAAATTATGTTGGTGTTGGTGGCATGCTATGTTTTCACAGGGAGCTTCATCTGGTGGAGTAAAGAGGGCCAAGGTGGAGAGCTGGGAGAAGAGTGTTGGAACCCTGGGAGGTCGGGGGGCGTTAAGCTCCCTGGTGGTGCGAAAGAAACCAGCGGCAATGGATAAAAGACCCCCCACAGAGGAGGCAACTGTTTCTCCTGTATCAAAAACAGGTGACACACCAACATTACGAACAGATGATGACAGATATCCTGCTTTAGTCAAACGTGTCTATTGAAATTTTCGTTTGTTTGCAGATTCAAAGACATCAACGGGTGACGCGACGGACGCTCTTAAGACCAGCGTTTCCCAAAACGGCTCGTCGTCTCTCAGCCTGCTGGGGGCTTATTCAGACAGCGACAGCAATAACAGCGAGTGACAACAGATGTAGAAAGGAAGATGTGTGAAAGTTCAGCTCAGATACTAAATCATATGCAAGTTATATTCACGCACCCTCGTGAAAATCCTAAAAATATAATTGTATGATTTGTTTTTGAGTTAAAATAAACTTATGGTGATTGTTTAATATTTGTCAACAAAGTGTTCCATTCAAATATTTTATTAAAACTTTAAAAGACTGTTTTGACTGCAGTGGTCATTGAAAGTCAGCTGTAGTGATGAATTAGAATGAAATCTTTGTAATATTAGACATAAATATTGAAACCGTTCTTGTGTTTTTTACTGCAAAAACATGAACAATTACATTTGACCTCCATCATCAATACCTGCTCTGTCATTAGGTGACACAGTCACTCTCAAACAGAAATTAAGAAAGCAATATTTACACTGTATTTCATATAGATGCAGCCATTTTTTTTAAATACATTTGTTCATGTGTTTCTAGAAGCTTGATGAACTCCCAGTCTCATTCTGTGTTATTAAAATGAAATCCAGTGTAATTATATTAATCAATTAAATGGAACACATTTTTTTACATAAAGTTTCTCAGCAAGGCATACAAGATTAAAACATTACTAGAGATGAACATTTCATTCACACTTGTCCATCTTGGAGGTGAAGGAATATTATTTTTTTTAAAAAAACACCCAGAAAAGTCACAAAAAGGAGTTTTTGTTCAATATTGGCTTTTGCAGTTACACCAAAATAAACAGCACAAAATGATGTTCAGCAGACACCATGACGACAGAGGATGGAGGCCGCTGAAAGAAAACAGTCTTTGGCTCTAATTTAAAGGGGCCGACGTCTAAAATCGTTTTCGTTTCATATGGAGGGTTGAAAGACTTTCGATATAACCTATTCCACATCTTACAGACCTATTTAAAACCCAAAAGATACATTTCTTAAACGCAGCTCCTGTACATGTGAGAAAATGGTCTCTCGGTTGCGCAGAAATAAATCTGTTTCTTTAAATTTACGGCACTAAAAATATCCCAACAGCCCTGCCGCCCCCCGCGCCCCCCGCCCCCGCCCCAGCAGACGGTCTTGCTCGGGGTCAGACCATCCTGCTCCAGCTATCACCAGCCGACTATAAACCAGTTTTCCTCCGGAATGCCTTATTTTTTTGGAGAGACACCATTGATGGAAATTGCCTGATGATAACCGGAGCGGGAGGAGCCGTCGATCCAAAGAAAGAGAGTGAGTTGTTTTTTTTATTTTAGCTTAAGCTAACTTAGCTTCTCCGTGTTTACTGAGGGATGCTCGGCAGCCGCGCCGCTCATTTCGTTAAAAACTAATATTTCAGAGGTAAAAAAAAAACAACTATTTTTTTCTTTCTGCTTTTCATCTCGACAATAATAGTCGGGGAGCGTTTAGCTTGAAACCTAAACGCTTTCTAGCACTGCTAGCTGAGTTAGCCGGCGAATGTTATTCAAGTTATTGAAAGCAACTATTTGATAAACGGGAAAGCAATGGAGACTAAGAGGTTATATTTTATTATCGATCTATTGAGTTGTTGTTTTTTTCATTAAAAGTGTATAGCATTGCTACGACTACTGTAGTAACTACTAACATGGTTCTGCGTCTTGCTATAATAATCAATATATTGCAAAAGGTTGCACCACACACACTTATGTGATGTGATTTATATTTGATCCACCTGCAGATGCTAAAATAAACACTCTTTTAAAAAACAACCTGCATATTTACTATCATGTATTCAGATCTTGGTTAAAGCAGCAGTTTAAGTTTTATTGATCTGGACTTTTCTCTGTTTCCGCTCAAAGCTTTTTAAGGAAGACCATCGACCTCAGCTCCAGATATGATGAACGCCTCATCTCCAAAACATCCAGACAGCATCACTGCCAGACAAATAGTCTTAAAGATTGATTTGTTCATTTTGCTGTCCTTGATGAAGAATGTCATCCTAACAGCATAATGCCGCCAGCGCCATGTTTCAGTTTGAGATTTTTGCTTTAACCTGATTACTTTTTTATTAAACTACAGTTATTCAAGCCTTGGGTGATTAAACCAGCTTCAGGAGAAAGAGAGAACTTTACCAGCAACTATGAGCCACTGTCCAAATATTTCATAGTTATGACGTCCTGTATTACTCCACTGTTTTCCTCAGATCCATGGCAAAGTGGCTAAAGGACTACCTAAACCTTGGCAGCAGGCGTGATCCTCCTCAGCCACCGAGGCCAGATTACACTGAGAGTGAGATATTGAGGGCCTACAGAGCTCAGAAGGAGCTGGACTTTGAGGATCCCTACCAACATTCGGAGAAGGAGCATCAGAATGGGGGCTTTAGCTCTTGCACCACAACAGTGAGCCTCCCCTCCTTCCCTGCGTTTGGCTCTGTGCTGTCTGATGGTGTGGAGGTACGACACCGAAGCCTTGGCGCTCAGCTCCATCTAATCCTTTCTGAACACATCGCATCTTAAATTATTGCTTTCGATCATGCATCCTGAGGTTTTATTTATTTGCGTTCACAGTTTTGTTTTGTTTGTTTTTTCTCTGTCAGCAATCTGTTTGGTTATTTAGTTTCTTTGAATTATTTTCATTCACATTCAGGTGAAAGTTGTGTCTCCAAAACACAGACTAATTAAAGTGGGCTCTCAGGAGTTTGGCCGCTGTAAAATTCCTCTCAGTCCAGTCACTGTTCACGAAGAACCTGTAAGCATTATATTTTTAATGTTTTACATATATATATATATTTTTTTGTTCATTTTCTTTCTCACAAACTTTTATTTCGATTTGCACTCATTTCCACGTTTTCCATGTAACAGCTCTCGTCGTCTTTCTTAACTCAAGTCTTCCCTTCATGTTTATACGTGCTGTTTTTTTGTTTTTTTTTGGGACTGGCTCCCCATAAAGGTGGTTCCTTCCGCCCCAGCAGCATCAGATGGTGAAACGGATTACTCTGATCCCTTTGATGCGCGTCCAAACCCGAGAGGCCGACCGAACTGGGAGCTCAAATCCGCACCAACGGACTGCTGCAGCTACATGGAGCCATTCGAAGCCCAGCGAATCATTGCAGGTTTAGTAATGAGGCTCGCATGGGCTCTTGCCATATTGGACCTTTTTGAAGAATTTTGATCCTTCTTTAGTTTGGCTAACGTAAGATTTTCCAAAAACCTACTGAACACTTGTAAAGAAAGCCAGATTTAGGTTTTATACTGTCAGGGATTCAAGCTAACCACAGAGACGTTTTTGCTACGTGATGAACTTCAAGGAGTTTTTACTGTTTCTGTCTGTTTACTGTTTAGATCTGCAACACACCGCAATGACAAACAGGAACCCGAGCGGAGACGGTGCCCAGTTATACGATAACCCTTATGAGGAAAAGAGCCGCCACCAGCATCGAGCTGCTCCGCCAGCGCAGCAGCAGCAGATGCAGAAGAGCGACGCTGGAGCAGCCCTGATAGACAGCAGGGAGAGCCGGCTGCCTCAGGACGACGAGAGGCCGGCTGATGAGTACGACCAGCCGTGGGAGTGGAAGAAAGACAACATCTCTAAAGCGCTAGCAGGTAAACCCGGGCGATCCCAGGATGGGAAATCCATTTAGTAAGGAGGATGACACGGTTTGCTTTCTGCGTGGCTGCAGTTCAGTTTGAAGGGGCAGAAAGGGAGCGCTCCCGAGCTCAGCCAGAACACACGAGGTTTACCAAAACGGGCTCTGCGTCATCCGCGTGCGATGCGACGACTCTGCGACTTGTTGGCGACACCCCTCCTCTGCTGGGTGAGAGGGTGGATCCGTCTCTGCCTCTGGAACAGCAAGTGTAAGAGGAAATCTGCATAATTTGAATTTAATCTCAGAGTTTTATCAGCCATGTAAAAACAATCACTTATGCAGTGTCTTTAGTGCCTTTTTCTTAAAAAAATAAAAATTAAGTTACAGGTCATGGGTATTTTTTCTTGTGGTTTCCTGCAGGTGGTATCACGGAGCTCTGAGCCGCTCTGAGGCAGAGTCTCTGTTGACTCTATGTAAAGAGAGTTCCTACCTGGTTCGGAAAAGCCAGACCTGCCAGAACGACTACTCTTTATCACTCAGGTAGACATTTGGCCCTAATTTCTAGCCCAGTTTGCAATTTACGTCTCACATTTGTCCAGTTTCAGTCGTTCTCAACTCATACTTTTAATCCAAGCACAGAAACACACATTATCATAATGTTTTATAACTATTGTGACATTGTTTTGTCTTTGGAAGCTGCCGACGGGGAATTCCTTCATCGTGCAATTAAAGTTGCTGCTTGTAAGATCATGTTTGATTTAAAGCTTCAGGCAACTTTTACTCTTCTGTAATATTTTGCTTCACCTGCTCTTTCAAAAGTTTGTAAACATCACGTCCATCTAGTATTTTTTTTAACAAATGTCCGCAGCACGCCACATAATAAAAAGGTCACCAAAAACTTTATGTGAACTTTCCAAATACGTGTTTCCTACTTAAACTGCACATATTGCCAAGCAGAAATGTAAAGCGGGGTTATAAATCTGCATGTGCAAACTTGAGTAGAGGACATAAAAACAAATATACTAGATGGAAAACCAACACAAATTCAAGACTCGACGCACAATAAATTGCAAAATGCCTGGGCGCTAATTTAGGTTTTATCAAACAAATGTATTCTCTAAAGTTTTCATCAACACTTCCTCGCCAAAATAACCCTGAATGATGGAGCTGCTTTTTCTATTCTGTATTATGTAAAATATCTGAACTGTGCCAGGCTCAGAGAAATGCTTTGAGGGGACAACTTTTGAATTTGTGATTGTCGAGAAGATTTCTGGTGTTTTTCATATCTAGCCTCATCAGAGGCAGCCTTGGGCTTTCTGTTAGCAATACAAAACAAAAGGTGTGACTACAAAGAAGAAATCTGTTTCATTTTTACAGGCGCGCTTTTTTTTTTTTTTGTAATCAGAGTTGTGAGCCTCGGAATGGGCTCTTCTTGTTCTTTATTTTGCATAATTCTTCTCATATGCAAACTTCTCATATGCAAAATATGAGAAGTTTCTAAGAAAGGAGAATATTGCCTATTTTATGTTTCCTTTCCTATCCATATTTATCTCTGAAGGTCTTCATATAGACTCTGTCAGTCAACATGAGGGCAGCTGTTGTGAAATAATTCATCCTCAGACTCTGAGCTGCTCCTAACCTTTTCTAAGTACCATGAGAAGGTATAGTTATTTGGTAGAATTATATTTACATGGAAGGTTATAGATAAATGTGTAGGTTGCATTACCTTTTCTCCACATTTTACTTTTATTTATGTCATTTAAATCATTTCCACATATAGCACATAGTACTCTAATGACCTTCAGGTCTTAAAAGTCAAAGTGTGAAGAGGAAAGCTGTCTACAGTGTACACCACAGTGTTTTTTATTTTTATTTTACATAGACACCAGCACTTATTCAAAATGAAAGCACTTCATTTTTTAACCATTCAGAAATCTGACATTAGGAGGATTTTACACATTTCTGGCATTTTTTCTGGGATCATGAATCCATATTTGCAGTCATCTATTAACATAAAATATGGATTCGCCATAATTTTGTGCACATTTTTCGCATTTGCTGCTCATTCTGTGAACGATTTGTGACCAAGCAGTGCTTGAATGCAATATGACAGCCATTTTCCTGATGTGCCACATTTCTACAAACGACCAATGAAAACGTTTTGCTGGAGGGGAGAAAGCGTGAGAGACGTGGTGAGGGAGGCTCTGGAGAGAATTTTGGAGACGGGAAGAGAACAGAGCACAGTGACATTTTGGATTTTACTAGGAGTGTTTTGGATGAGTTTTTAGCTAGAGTTTGTGAGAGTGTGTGCAGACCCAAGTTAATCACCTGTGGTGTTTTGTCTTCCTGTCAGGAGTTGTAAAGGCTTCATGCACATGAAGTTCACCCAGTCCGCAGAAGGCCGCTACGTTCTCGGTGAAAACAGTCCTCCTTTCTGCACCATCCCCGAGGTCATCCACTACTACACCACACACAAACTGCCCATCAGAGGAGCCGAGCACATGTCCCTGCTGTACCCCGTCATTGTGCAGACCCTCTGACGTTGACGCACACGCTCCTGTTCCGCCTGGTGCTACTGAAAGCAATGTCTACTCAACATTTACAGATTATGTCTTCACCTTTTTCCACCGCAGCCCTCCAAACACTGCCCTGAAGAAGTTGACATGTTTTCAATGTGTTGGATTGAAATCTTTGATTTAATATGGCCGAATTGATTGAACATGATTTGATCTGTGTTGCCTTTATGCAGTCAAAGGAAACTTTGGTTTGTGCCATAAAATCTTTTGTTTTTCTCCCATTACTTTCATGTTGTTTTCACTAGATAGCCAGGTTATTCAAACCACAGTCAAAATGTTTCTACAGCCACAAACAACGCTATTATTACCCTTAAAATATCTGTTGCTAAATAACCCAAACACTACATCAATATCGGTCAGCCTGGCCTTCCTTTTCTTCCTTGGACTCTGGTTTTCAGAGGCTTGCGAATGTCCTGCAATGTTGCAGCCATGCACCCTACAGTGTTTCTCGTTTCATCATGTTGCTGTGTCGGCGTAAACATGACTCGTTAACTGGACAACAGTCTTGCAATACTAGTTTAGAGAGTATTTACCACAGTGTTATACAGAAAGATTATGGCTTTGTGGTCCTGATCATCAAAGAAACTTTAGTAGGTTATTTACTGTGCTATTTTTTATGACTCTAAATGTAAACTCAAAATAAAGGTGTCCTGTTTTCCACTTTGTGTGTGTTTTCTTCTCAATAGCAAACGTGTTATTTTACTTTAAAAAAAACTTGACGCAATGTGTCGTAATGACTGCAAATTAAATGTTAATTGAGGGAAACCATAAATCGAGATGTTGTGCTTTACTTGAGTCAGATTAAGCTAGCTCTAAAATTCCTTGAGTCAGATTAAGCCAGCTCTAAAATTCCTTGAGTCAGATTAAGCTAGCTCTAAAAATTCCTTGAGTCAGATTAAGCTAGCTCTAAAAGTTCCTTGAGTCACATTAAGCTAACTCTAAAAATTCCTTGAGTCAGATTAAGCCAGCTCTAAAATTCCTCGAGTCAGATTAAGCTAGCTCTAAAAATTCCTTGAGTCACATTAAGCTAGCTCTAAAAATTCCTTGAGTCAGATTAAGATAGCTCTAAAAATTCCTTGAGTCAGATTAAGCTAGCTCTAAAAATTCCTTGAGTCAGATTAAGCTAGCTCTAAAAATTCCTTGAGTCAGATTAAGCTAGCTCTAAAAATTCCTTGAGTCAGATTAAGATAGCTCTAAAAATTCCTTGAGTCAGATTAAGCTAGCTCTAAAAATTCCTTGAGTCAGATTAAGCTTGCTCTAAAAATTCCTTGAGTCAGATTAAGCCAGCTCTAAAATTCCTTGAGTCAGATTAAGCCAGCTCTAAAATTCCTTGAGTCAGATTAAGCTAGCTCTAAAAATTCCTTGAGTCACATTAAGCTAGCTCTAAAAATTCCTTGAGTCAGATTAAGCCAGCTCTAAAATTCCTCGAGTCAGATTAAGCTAGCTCTAAAAATTCCTTGAGTCACATTAAGCTAGCTCTAAAAATTCCTTGAGTCAGATTAAGATAGCTCTAAAAATTCCTTGAGTCAGATTAAGCTAGCTCTAAAAATTCCTTGAGTCAGATTAAGCTAGCTCTAAAAATTCCTTGAGTCAGATTTAGCCAGCTCTAAAATTCCTTGAGTCAGATTAAACTAGCTCTAAAAATTCCTTGAGTCAGATTAAGCTAGCTCTAAAAATTCCTTGAGTCAGATTAAGCTAGCTCTAAAAATTCCTTGAGTCAGATTAAACTAGCTCTAAAATTCCTTGAGTCAGATTGAACTAGCTCTAAAATTCCTTGAGTCAGATTGAACTAGCTCTAAAATTCCTTGAGTCAGATTAAACTAGCTCTAAAATTCCTTGAGTCAGATTAAGCTAGCTCTAAAATTCCTTGAGTCAGATTAAGCTAGCTCTAAAATTCCTTGAGTCAGATTAAACTAGCTCTAAAATTCCTTGAGTCAGATTGAACTAGCTCTAAAATTCCTTGAGTCAGATTAAGCTAGCTCTAAAATTCCTTGAGTCAGATTAAGATAGCTCTAAAATTCCTTGAGTCAGATTAAACTAGCTCTAAAATTCCTTGAGTCAGATTAAGCTAGCTCTAAAAATTCCTTGTGTCAGATTAAGCTAGCTCTAAAATTCCTTGAGTCAGATTGAACTAGCTCTAAAATTCCTTGAGTCAGATTAAGCTAGCTCTAAAATTCCTTGAGTCAGATTAAGATAGCTCTAAAATTCCGTGAGTCAGATTGAACTAGCTCTAAAATTCCTTGAGTCAGATTAAGCTAGCTCTAAAATTCCTTGAGTCAGATTAAGATAGCTCTAAAATTCCTTGAGTCAGATTAAGCTAGCTCTAAAAATTCCTTGAGTCAGATTAAACTAGCTCTAAAATTCCTTGAGTCAGATTGAACTAGCTCTAAAATTTCTTGAGTCAGATTAAGCTAGCTCTAAAATTCCTTGAGTCAGATTAAGATAGCTCTAAAATTCCGTGAGTCAGATTGAACTAGCTCTAAAATTCCTTGAGTCAGATTAAGCTAGCTCTAAAATTCCTTGAGTCAGATTAAGATAGCTCTAAAATTCCGTGAGTCAGATTGAACTAGCTCTAAAATTCCTTGAGTCAGATTAAGATAGCTCTAAAATTCCTTGAGTCAGATTAAGCTAGCTCTAAAAATTTCTAGAGTCAGATTGAACTAGCTCTAAAATTCCTTGAGTCAGATTAAACTAGCTCTAAAATTCCTTGAGTCAGATTGAACTAGCTCTAAAATTCCTTGAGTCAGATTAAGATAGCTCTAAAATTCCTTGAGTCAGATTAAGATAGCTCTAAAATTCCTTGAGTCAGATTGAACTAGCTCTAAAATTCCTTGAGTCAGATTAAACTAGCTCTAAAATTCCTTGAGTCAGATTAAGATAGCTCTAAAATTCCTTGAGTCAGATTAAGATAGCTCTAAAATTCCTTGAGTCAGATTAAGATAGCTCTAAAATTCCTTGAGTCAGATTGAACTAGCTCTAAAATTCCTTGAGTCAGATTAAACTAGCTCTAAAATTCCTTGAGTCAGATTAAGATAGCTCTAAAATTCCTTGAGTCAGATTAAACTAGCTCTAAAATTCCTTGAGTCAGATTAAACTAGCTCTAAAATTCCTTGAGTCAGATTAAACTAGCTCTAAAATTCCTTGAGTCAGATTAAACTAGCTCTAAAATTCCTTGAGTCAGATTGAACTAGCTCTAAAATTCCTTGAGTCAGATTAAGATAGCTCTAAAATTCCTTGAGTCAGATTAAGATAGCTCTAAAATTCCTTGAGTCAGATTGAACTAGCTCTAAAATTCCTTGAGTCAGATTAAACTAGCTCTAAAATTCCTTGAGTCAGATTAAGATAGCTCTAAAATTCCTTGAGTCAGATTAAGATAGCTCTAAAATTCCTTGAGTCAGATTAAGATAGCTCTAAAATTCCTTGAGTCAGATTGAACTAGCTCTAAAATTCCTTGAGTCAGATTAAACTAGCTCTAAAATTCCTTGAGTCAGATTAAGCTAGCTCTAAAATTCCTTGAGTCAGATTAAACTAGCTCTAAAATTCCTTGAGTCAGATTAAACTAGCTCTAAAATTCCTTGAGTCAGATTAAACTAGCTCTAAAATTCCTTGAGTCAGATTAAACTAGCTCTAAAATTCCTTGAGTCAGATTAAACTAGCTCTAAAATTCCTTGAGTCAGATTAAACTAGCTCTAAAATTCCTTGAGTCAGATTAAGCTAGCTCTAAAATTCCTTGAGTCAGATTAAACTAGCTCTAAAATTCCTTGAGTCAGATTAAACTAGCTCTAAAATTCCTTGAGTCAGATTGAACTAGCTCTAAAATTCCTTGAGTCAGATTGAACTAGCTCTAAAATTCCTTGAGTCAGATTAAACTAGCTCTAAAATTCCTTGAGTCAGATTGAACTAGCTCTAAAATTCCTTGAGTCAGATTGAACTAGCTCTAAAATTCCTTGAGTCAGATTAAACTAGCTCTAAAATTCCTTGAGTCAGATTAAACTAGCTCTAAAATTCCTTGAGTCAGATTGAACTAGCTCTAAAATTCCTTGAGTCAGATTGAACTAGCTCTAAAATTCCTTGAGTCAGATTAAACTAGCTCTAAAATTCCTTGAGTCAGATTGAACTAGCTCTAAAATTCCTTGAGTCAGATTGAACTAGCTCTAAAATTCCTTGAGTCAGATTAAACTAGCTCTAAAATTCCTTGAGTCAGATTGAACTAGCTCTAAAATTCCTTGAGTCAGATTGAACTAGCTCTAAAATTCCTTGAGTCAGATTGAACTAGCTCTAAAATTCCTTGAGTCAGATTAAGATAGCTCTAAAATTCCTTGAGTCAGATTAAGATAGCTCTAAAATTCCTTGAGTCAGATTAAGATAGCTCTAAAATTCCTTGAGTCAGATTAAGATAGCTCTAAAATTCCTTGAGTCAGATTGAACTAGCTCTAAAATTCCTTGAGTCAGATTAAACTAGCTCTAAAATTCCTTGAGTCAGATTGAAACTAGCTCTAAAATTCCTTGAGTCAGATTGAACTAGCTCTAAAATTCCTTGAGTCAGATTGAACTAGCTCTAAAATTCCTTGAGTCAGATTAAACTAGCTCTAAAATTCCTTGAGTCAGATTAAACTAGCTCTAAAATTCCTTGAGTCAGATTAAGCTAGCTCTAAAATTCCACCCGGGCCTGTAGTGTTAATCACCATAGCAACAGAGGTCTGGCCAGGGCAGCTCGTGTTCGTAGCAATGAAGACCTTAGCTTGGCACGAATACGCCGCCTAGAGGCAAGGTGGCAGAAGACAGAAGGGGGTAAGCTCCGCATGACTCCTCTGAAACTCGACCAGCCCAAATTGACAACCGCTCTAGACTTTCCAAATAGGCTGGAGCTATTTGGAAATAGCTCTAGTAGGTAGTTCCCGAACCGGAAGTAAGTTAGCCCAGCCAACTCTGTAGGCAAACGGTAAACAGCTCAACGCAGCAGGAGCATTTACGATCCTTGCATTTGCTTTTCCGAGGTTTTTTTTTTACCCTCAGGAGAATTCAGTGTAGAGCAAATAGCACAAGTCATAAAAATAGTCAACGAGTCATTTTTGTGTTGAGAGACGGAGCTTTCACGAGGGGAACGATGGCGTGTGGTTGAGTTTTGAGAGCCTGAAGTTGAGAAAGAAAGACTTGCTTCAATCGCCAGAAAAGGCAAAAGGAGAAAAAAAAAAAGTCTAAGTCCCAACAGCTGGAATATCTCTTCTGTTACATGCTGCGTGTGACGCATAATAATACACCATAATTAGCAACAATAGCAATTTTATTTACAAAGCCACAGCTGAAACCAAGTGCTGAACATAAACATAAAATAACGCATAAAAACAAAGTGATAGAGGTACAATAAATTACAAAAAATCAACAAATTACTGTTTAGAATCAAGTGACTATATTTATGGGCACATAAGCAGTGATCGCATGTGCTAAAAGTACAGTTAGATTTATTTATATTTGTTGCAGCCAGAAAAAAAAAATAGCTGCACATGCACAATTTATGTTCATGTTTAACACTTTCTGTAAATGCAACCCGGCCTCATTCATCACCAGCAACCTCATCAAAACTCAACACTTGCTTGGAGGAAACAAAGGCAGAACTTTCTCCAACTCATCAGCTCCAAAACTGAACCCATCCTTGTGGGCACTTCTCATCAGGTCCAGTCGTGATCCATAACCAGCATCTTCTTCTCTGCTTCCAAATATTCCTCTTTCCTTAGCGGTCACAAATCTCAGTGTAAAACAGAATCCACAGCTCACTTTTGAATCTCATGTCAACCACATCTGCAAGAAGTGGTTGCAGAAAATCCGTCCCATTCTCTCCTCCTCAGACGTAAAAAAAAAAAAAAAAAAAAAAACTGGCCCACGCCTTCGTCTCCTCCAGACTGAACACTTCTCCTGGGGTTTCCTAGAAAGATTCTGCAGAGCCTCCTTTACATCCAGAACTTTGCAGCTAGGATACTGATGAGCGTGTACAAGCATGACCTCAACCCGTTTCCACCATGATTGAATACAAGATTTCCCTCCTCACACACCAATTCATCTACAGAAATACCCCCACCTTTTTCAAAGAACTGTTTAACCCTCAAAGCACAACTTGCATGTGCCACTCCACTCTACTGATACACAACATGCTACTGATAGCCCATGCTGGTGACACGATTCTTTAGTTAACTTTTGCTTCATAGCTCATCCTTGGCATTTTCATATGACAAAGAGAGACACTAACTGTCTTATTTTAAGTTGTTGAGGCTTACCCAAAGTTGAAGCCTGTTGGACCTGAATCTTAATCAAGACTTCTGATTTGGGTTAGAGTGGCGCACTTTGACAGGCCCCCTTCAAATTTCTAATGAAATTTTCTGGTTTTATTTATGTCCTTACTCACTCAGCCTTTTGTCAGACTCTTTCTCCCCCTCACCCTTTTATCCATGCAGCCTTGTGTTGAGGCCGGTGACTGTCTCCATCTGTCTTTGGGCAATTTTAGAGGAGCCAGTTAATTAAAGAGTCATGTTGTCAGAGAACCAGGAGAAAATTCAAGAAAACACAGAGGAAACATGAAACACGGGGTTCTTCGAAATATAGCAGTTTGAAGAACCCATATCTTCTTGCTGCAAGGCAACAGTGCTAACTGCACAACCCAGGTTATTTCCATTTACTAATCATAAATTGACAATGTCCAAAAATTTTGAATATTGTTTCTAAACTACCTCTAACTTTAGCACGGACCTGTCTGAGAACAAATTACACAAAGTTTAAACATATTTATAAAAGGTTGCACTGGATTTTATTTTGTCTTGCCAGATCAAGGCAAATAGACATACTGGTAAAAGGTTTTGAAAACCACATGTCAGCTTCCTTCCACTTAGTGACTAGGCTCTCACTGCTTCATGATGTATTTTCATATAAAATATCCATTAAATGCATTGAATTGGGCAGTTACAAAGTAAGGAATGTGTGCGTTTTGACAATTTTTCCAAAGTGTATGTCATCAGCCTGCTCTGCTGTTATGGGACCTGAAATTCAGCCACCATCTGACCCTAAAGCCGACCAGCTCAAATATCTGGACCGGTAAGAATAACGAACACCAAAAGCTGCCGCTGTTCAGTTTCTTTCTTGTTTCTGAGTGAGCCTCCTCTTGTTTTTCAGTAATACTGTTCAGTGGCTCGAAAAAAAACCAACCGAGAAGACAGGATCCGTCAAGCAACCTGGTGTGGTTTTTATTTTCGCACCATTTGTGTGGGATGAAATTACAATATTTTTTTTGTGTGATGCGACAGAATTGTTTTTGTTTTTCCTTGCTTCTCACAGAGTTGGCCCCTACTTGGGCAGAGTTGACCAGAACTCGAACTTACTGCTCTCAAATCCGGTAAATATAGCAGTCTGAAGAATGAACCTGACTTCTTCTGATTTCTGTTTTTTATCACGTAGATGCACTCTGATGTTCTATCTTTAACTTGTCTTGACCCTCCCTATCTTTCAATTTGAAAAATATGCTATGTCGCTAAACATCTTTCTTGTCATATTATATATATCAAATAGTTACTATAAATGAATAAAGGAAAGTAAATCTGTATGTGTCATCTAGTCACTTTCCCTTTCCTACCATTTTTGCCTCATACATTTTTATATTCCTATGAATTGATTAAAGTGTCTCTTTCTTTCTTTTCTTTTAGGGTTTCTCAACCATCGAAGATCAGCAAATGGGCTCTCCATGCCTTCCCATCTGAACGAGTATGTGAATTGGCTAAACCTCGGTCCTATTCAAGAGGGTGGCAGCCTGAAGCCTGTCTACCAATACCAGTGAGTAGCAACGTGTACATGTCTAAAAACTGCTGTACTCGTGACAAGACCAGAGGTTGGAGACTGATTGTGCCTCATTTCTGCATAACACTCACAAAGAAAGGCCTGAGCATCAGGTCTGAAGAGCACCTGCTTGTGGGCACACAAAATTCTGATTTCTTCTGTTTTGTTTCCATCTGAACCATCAGATATAAAAGTTTTGTTTCTGAATCCTCATTATCAGTCTCCACCTTGGGCAGGTGGTTTTAAAGATTTCGTGTCCTTAGTGTTTTTTGTAAATATGGGAAGGGTTGAGTGAGATTAAGAGTCTGTGTTTCCTAGACAAGATGGAAAAGTAGAGAAATGAAGACTTTCCATGCACCCCTGCTGGAATAAATCCTGGAGACAAACCCACATCTCACCGAAGTAGCTATTTACATATACACTCTGGTATGAAAATGCTTTGGGATCTCCGGTGAGAAACTGCATAGTTTCAGATAGTTGAGAGATGTGTGGGTTTTCCCATGAGTCTGTTACTTCTCTAAGCCAATCTCATATAGGCAGAAGATAATGGAAAGAGGGATCAGTTCAGATACTTGCGTACATTAATATGCTGTAAAACAACAGGAAGAGTTTAATGATACATACCATCTTCAGGGTCTGAGTTTTAGTCATCTCGTATTGCAGTGGGCTTGATACTCACAACATCTTAATTTCTGTAGGTTTAGCGTCACATCCTGCAAGATGAACCTCCACTTGAGACTCGCACTTTACAAAAACTCTAACAGAATGTCTTTTGTAGCAACCACTAATAATAGCCAAAAGTGTAGAACATTTTAGACATTTTAAATGTAATAAAACCAATTATATAATCCCCATCTAGTGATGTAGCAAAAAAATTGAACATACAACATGTAGTAAGTAAAGGATCACATAATCTAAAATTATAACTTCACATTGCTGCGTTATGTAAAACCGTTTCAAGTAAATAGTACAACAAATAATTCTCTAACAGGGACTGACAAACATATTTACAGAGAGAGTACTTATGTTTCAATGACTGTATGTAATATCCATTGAACCCGAAACTGCAAGAAAGCATTTTATTTCCAAGAAATGGATGATTTATTTCACATTACATTATCTGCAGCAGTTATTGCATTTTAAATCTGCACCAATAATTTCCAATCACGATATTATTGGACAAATGTTTATGTTTTTGGCTAATGTTTAGTTTTCAGCTTAATGACATTTAAATTGCCTCAAATATAAATGTTATTCATAGGTAATGCAATAGTGGCTGTAATTACGTGACTGGTTAGTACTACACCCTGTGTTTAGCTCCATCCATCCTGCCATCGACTCTGACAAGCTTTACCGTCCCTCCTGTAGAGAACCGGGATAGTCGGGGAGAGAGTGAGGCGATAACGCTTTACCATCCTAACTTTTCTAGAGCTACTCTATCTGCGTTGTGTTTTCTGTAGGTGAGTAGAGCGTCTCTGTCAGCAGTGGCCTCCCCACGAACTTGCAGGCTCGCCCAGCCAAAGAAGCGGTATTCTGCACCTGAACCGAGCTACACATCTGAACCTCGACCTATGACCCATTTGACCTCAGCCCATCTGTCCATGCTAGCGAGTGAGTGTAAGTTTCTCTCTGACAAAGTTTTTTATAAGATGTCGTCGTTGCTCTGCTTGCTGTTGATTTCCTTTGTCTTTATAGTTCCAAAAGCAGAGCATCCGTTGTATCAGAGACAGCGCTCAGCATGCTGGCCAGTTTCCTTTGGAGCCAAGCATTATGTACCCTCCCAGAGACTTCTTAAACTGGCTCGCCCCATAATACGGAAAGATCCGCTTGGTGGTTATGACCCATTTACTGTTAGCCATGCAGCTCTCTGTGCTAACCCATCTCCTCGGACATTACAGCTCTCTGTACCTCTGCCTCGAAAATGCTCTCCAAAGGTATCACCCCACCACTTCTAGTCCCCAGAGAGGAGTTCGTTGTTCTTAGTTACATCACCAAACGTCCCACTGAGATCATTTCGTTCCAAACAGCAGTAAATTTGGCAGCTCTGCCTCTTGCCTCAGTTATTAATCTTTGTGTTTTTTGTGGGTTGAGTCCGAGCTCATCAAGTCTGGTAACAGTTGCATGGTTGTTGTCTTACAGTCAGTTATCACCACATGTGAAGATGTTTAATCACAGCTAAACTATTTAAATCTATAGGTTAAGTACTTTATATTAAAGTTGTTACAAACAAGTTTTTTTTTGACACAGCACAATAACTGCCATCACATCTGTTACAAACATCGTCATTATTGCTATGGGAAAAGAAGGATGTACTGTGCTTTTTGTACGTATATCCAAACCATTTGAACTTGTACATCTTGATTTTTATTTTATTTTATATAAAGTCTGTTTGGGTGTTCCTCAAGGGTTAATATTGGGGCCATGTTTTTTTGTTCAATTTAAATAAATAAGTAGCAAGGATAGCTCCAATCATGGGTTCACAGTTGATGCGGTTATTTACCATCACGTCATCATGCTATTATAATCCATGTTTAACCTTTTTAAAAATTCTTCAGTGCAGTTAAAATTGGTGCTTCCCCCCCAAAAAAAAGCTTATTTAATATGCAGATAATTTGATTTGATTGCATCTTAAATATATCAGATTTTCAAACAACTTTCAAAAACAGATGAAAATAAACTGAGTAATAGAGAAAAAAAAAAGTCAAATTACGATTTCATTTACCAAGTGGAAAAGATACAAGCCTGATTGCCCTCTGTGGAAAACTGATTACCTTAACTGGTTGCATAGTATAGAGGTAGATCAGACTCTCTACATACAGAGTCTATTAGTCTTTGATAAAGTGGTCGTGGGTTAAATTCCCAACTCTGGGACCGTTGCTGCATGTCCTCCCTCCTTCTCTCCTGTCTGATCTCCTCCAAATTAATCACAAGAAGAACAGTTTAAAAGGAATATTTAATCCCAAGTTACCTACCAGCCTGCATGTAGGTGCATGAATGCGTGCACATGTATGTCCTGCAACTGCACAAATGTGGCTCTCGTGTAAAAGCTTCTTTGAGAGGCCAGTGCAGTTACAAAAATTGAGACCATTTAACATTTATTTTCTGCCAGGTGTAACTCTGAGGTTGGCTCCCATCATTGTCTCTTTCTCATCGCTGAATAACAAACACTGAACTTTACCGAGGTAACTGAGGCCTGCAGTGCATGAAACTCACTGGAAGTTAATTATGTTTCTGCTGAAGGATTCCTAGGAGCTGTCATACCTACAGGTGTGCCTGATGTTGATTTTATGAGCCAGGACTGTCACCAAGTGGCCTATTTTGGATGTGAGATGCTGCTTCATCACTGGAATCTCATTAGAGCAGAAAGTGAAGCATGCAGTGAGGGGAAAATACTTCAAATTGCGACTCGGTTACATCCTGAAAGCGCTTGGGGCCCATTCTTCATTTATAATTCTCTTATGATCAACTTGGGGTAACACTGGAGAGCGCTTGAGCGAAAAGAGTGGATCTCTATTGAGTTATTGTGATGATGCAGAAGAACAAATTATTTATTAATATTCGAAAAGTTTCGATGATCTCTGATTTTGTTTGCCCTTCCCAAAATGCAGGGAACATGCGCTCTTCATCAGTTAGATCAGAGTTTATTAAGCCTATATTTTTAAGGACCTGAACAAAAAAAAAAAGAGAAAAAAAAAAGCCAATCGGGACCCACCGAGGACGTCACGCACCACCGCCTCAGAACCCTCCTACTTTCCACGCAACCGCACTTTTCTGTGGGGCAACGACACGCAGCGGGGCGGCGCAAATGTGCTGTCAGGAACCGCACATGTTGCGCAATCAACGCCTGAAGAGTCCACTGACACGCCGGATAAAGCTTCCTCTGGTAAGCGAACCTTTAATATCTAACTTCTGACTGCTTTATTTGGCTCCGTGGGACACCAGTGGCAGAAAACAGAGAGTGGGTCACGAGTTGGTGCGTCTCGATTTACATTAACGCAACAGGCTGCGCGTGGAGTTGTCAAATACATTAAAAATTGTAAACAGAAATGTGACCTCAAATACTGAGATTGGATGTTGTTAGATGTTAGCTGAAGGGATATTTAACTCTATATTTAACAGGTAACATTTAACTGGAGAGTAAAGGAATGATGTCAATTGGGAGAAACATATTTGCTGTTTTCATTAATAATCTTGCAGGACATAAAGTATACTTATTAGTGCTGAGTGGACTTCATGGGGTGGCATTTTTACTGGTCCCTCATTTAACACAGCTCAACTGCATGCTGGTGAAAACAAATCCTATTTTCGAGTGACAATATACATTGGAATATTTATTATAGATGTTTAGAAATGTTCCCAGGAGGGCTGCAGGCCTCCCACCCAGTCTGGGAAGCATGACAGGAAGTACTGGTCACAGTCCTAATGAATAGAGACAACATATTGTTTGTATAGCACTTTGTAAAGTTTATAGGTTAACTCCTGGTTGTTTATAGGTTAACTTTACCAAACCAACCGATTTTAGTGGTATGGTAGGTGTAAAATATTTAATAAAAAGTTGCCTCATGACTGGTTTTATTTCCGCTTTCATATTTAACTTTACGACACGGGCATTTATAAGTGGGCTGCCGCTTCTGTCTCGCAGTGTATTTTGGGTAAAACTCGTCCACCTACGTCGCCGCTGGTCACTTGGCAGCAGATCCTAACCAGCTGGGGCATTTTCATGTAAGCGTACATTATTGGAGTGGCAAAGCGAAAGACGGAAAAATGAAGAGTGCAAGAAAAGGTCAAGTTACAGAAACTGGACATATAGGACATTTTGTTCGTCTTGGAGATGATCCCTGACTCTTATTGACTCAAGCCCGCCAAAACTGCTAGCAGCCTGGGAGCTATTTTAACAATCATTATTCACAATGTGTGAGTTAGTAGTAGACTGTTGGTGACTGTAAATTGTTGTTCTCTTGGTTTGCTGTGCATGTCCAAAACAGATGTATGATGGTCTTGTCATCCCCACAAGCTTTGGGGACTTCCTGTACAGTCAATCATTTGGTGCTGTTCTGATCGAAGCAACACCAACTCACTTGCTCCTGTGCATTTACACCCTGGTGAGGTTTGAGATCGGGTAACTGGAAAATGTCAAATGGTTTTGCGCTGGCAAATTAATGACAATCCTTCGAGAAAGGGCAGAGAGGTGGAGGACTTTCTGTCTTGACTGGAATTACAGTCCTGAAACAAAAAGTGTGGGGATTTTTGTTTAACTATGACAAATTCTGCAAAATATTGTGATTATGGTGGAAACACTACACCGGAAATCCTTACCAAATCTTAGTCCTCAAGACTAAATGTCCTCAAGTAGATGTACTTTAGTTTTTATCACCCCAATTTATTAAGTTAAAGTGAAATGTGTTGAGGTGTCTACGCTTTAAGTGGGTTCATCCTAAATATAGCAATCACTGTTTAGATCTTGATATCATCCAAAAAGAATTAGTCACAACAACAGTTCAGTTGCACCTTCAATAGTTTGTGAAAGCAACAAAGGCAATACTCTTCAACCATGTGAAACATGCATTGTTAGACATGTTGTCACACTTCTGATTCCTGCACACCAGGTTTAAACTTCTTGCTTTGAAAGAAGATTACTCTAAATCTGCCCTTCAGTTGTTTGGCTGAACAAAAATATCAGCTTTTAAAGTGCTTTGTGTTTTCATTATTCTCAAGTTTAATCCATTTTTTAATCACATTTATTCACTCTAACCAGAACTGGTCAGTCTTTCAACTCTTTGACTTTAAGTAGAAACACACAATCTGCATGTCCATACTAATTTGATAAAGTTGCCAGATTGTTAAATCAGTTTGTTTCTATTACAATAAGTGGCATGATGTCCTTGCCAGTGGTATAGTTTTATTGCACAATGTTCAGGAGGAATGCTGTGGGAACCTACAGATTCAAAGACATGTCTGCGAGGTAACTTGTTGTGCAACTCATTTTAAAAATCCACAACCTTTTCCCATTCATCCTAACTAAAGGATGACTCTTCTCTGCCATCTGACCAGATGAGTGTTTATGCCAAATTGCTGCCAACACGATGGGACAAACCGAGTGAGACGACATGTGGGTGTGCATGGAGCGAAGCTTAGCCATGGTTTGGACCTTCCTGCTGGGAGGCGGACTCACGCTGGGTAACATTCTCTTCTTTTCTTGTCCAAAACATTCTGTGAGCATGTGACTTCCTGTTCATATTTGCCCTATATGATTGGGATTGGGGTTTTTTTTTCACAGATCAAGAAAAGAAAAACAATTGCAATGTACAACAAAGCCTTTCACTGCTTTGTCAATGTAGAGTGCTATTATCTTTACCAAGCCTGCAATAATTTGTTATATATCTCTATCTCCAGGATTTTTTTTATCAAGTTAAAAATTTACTTTAAATTCGCTGATCCGATCACTAGCTGTGCTGAAAAGTCGATCAACACGAGTCTCAAATTTATTAGGATAAGAGTTAGCAGAAACACACAGACCTTCTGCTGAGCTTCTTTCCAATTTAGAGGAGCAGATAATATAGAAAGGGAGGTCTGCATCAAATCTTAGAAAGGGAGGTCTGCATCAAATCTTATAACTCAGGGATATAAGAAATCATGGCTTAGTAATTAGAAGTTTGTAGAAATGGATCAATTTACAGCTTACATTTGTGTTATGGACCATTAGATGTTCTAGGAATTATAGCACTGCTAAATTAAACTATATTGATAGTGATCATTCTTTCTTAATGTGAAATTTCTTACCTCAACAGCGTAAATCTGTTCAAAAGAGAGGTTATGCTGTTTTTTTCCTCTGCATTTTCAAGACAACATTACGCTGCTGAAAGAAAAAAAAAGTGTTTTATTTATTAGCTAGTTGTATATATTTTTGAACATCACAAATCTCATTTTTGTGATGGATTTACTCTGTGATGTTGTTGACTCCAGCTGTTCACAATCTTTAATCCTCCAGCATTCTCTGTTGAAACAACCAAGGCCGTCCCTCAGTCGCTGCGGCTCCTCGGCTGTGTGTTTATACCCCGAAGCAACGTCACCTGCCACTGGACGCCTGGAGACAATCAGCCGACGTACTATACCCTTAAAGCTGAAAAAATCCCACGGTGAGACTGAGTGCTCCTTTCCAGAAAGGCTTTGCATGTCAGAGTAAATCTGTTAACTCTGTTTGGCACGATGTTGTCATTAGGCAACAAACACAACTTTGGCCTGTTGCATCTTCACAATTTATCTCTTTAAATGATGCAAACCATTTAAAAAAAAACAAAAACAAAAAAACACTCACAAAGGAATTAATGTTACTGCTTTAATTATCTTGTGATTTAATAAAAATAAATAAACAACGCCTGCATTGAATGTAAAAATGAACTTGTCTGATTTGAAAGACAGATTAAAAGCAAACAGCTTTGAGGTTTTTATGCTGAGGAACATGTTTTGCTGAGATAGGAAGGATGTAGACTCTGATGTTGTCTTTGATGTACCTTTAATAGTTTTTGCAATAAGCTTTTTCTATCAAGTTGATATATATCTTTGACCACATTGTTTGAATTTCCTTTTTTCTTTTCCTGTGCATCAGTGTGCAGCAATGAAATACACCAATGTAATCTCAGCGTAAATAAAGCTGCTCTGTGGATCATGGAGACCGAGAAACAGAGAAGACAGATGAGGGAGAATTCAGGTTTAAAGCTGAATTATGTTTCTCCGGAAATATGTTGAATCAGCAAATCAGTCAAGATTAAAGTTTCATACTAAAATGTCTTTTAGTATGATCTCCCTGAACACACAAGGGAGATCTGGGACATTACATTCTTCAGATCTTTAGCAGTGAAAAATTTCAAATTGTTTTATTTCTACTTTGCTGTTAGTCTTCGTCTATAACACAAAGTCGCAGTAAAACGCACTGACATTTAAGGGGTGTGCATGCTTTTTTTTTTAAAGCCACTGTACCTGTGTGTCATTTTTAAGTTCCAAAAGCTCGACATTCAGCTGCACCACAACCGGGTTGAGCTGCACTGCAGGAATCAACGGATCTGGACTTAGGTTCACGTTTTGCATCAGTGTCATATCGCACGGCTTAAGAGGAAATATTTCATCTAAAATTCGGTGCCAGTCTGCAAGAATAGAAGGTGAGGCTGTGGTGGTCGTCCCCCACTTGTAGCATCACCATTCATTCCTGTGTCGTCTAGTGACCTCGCCTCTTATTTGTCTTAGGAAAATTGGGTCCAGCGAGTTTGAACAGCGTCCAACAAGTTGACGGCTCCCCTCACTGCTTGAGAGTGTCCTGGACAAGTACTGTGACTCATTTTCCCCTGTCTCCGTCAGAAATTAAAGCTGGACAGCTGGATTCCCAAATAAAGTTTACAGCAGAGGAAGAGGTGAGCTGTGATCAAAAACATTTATTCATATGGCAACATCAGGGTGTAATTGTTAAATAGATTTTTAGTTCTGTCAGGAGGAATGGGTCAAATAAGACATCTGACCCAAGTCACACACTTTTAAAGCTGATTCCAACTGATTTAAGGCAGTAAAAAATGTCTTATTTAGTGGCAAACAGTGAGCGAAAAAAGTTAAGCATTTTGATATAAAATATTTTTATTGAGAAGACTAAACCGCACAGAATTGGTAAAAAATAAATAAATAAATAGAAACAGATAACGCCTTGTTTAACACAAGTTCATTTGTGGTGTTCTGTTTCTCTCATCCACACAGGTAAATGCTCAGGTCAGGAGTGTGAGTGTAACTGGATACACTTTCCAGGTGTGCCTCTTCAGGCCGGACACCTCGTATACGCTCCAGATTCGAAACCGTTACCTGGGCGAGGCAAGCCCCTGGAGCGAGTGGAGCAACCCATTTCAGGGAAGGACAGCAGAGGCCGGTGAGATCACACATTATTTTAATAATAAAACGACTATAAGCTCATAGCAATGATAATTATCACAGCGGGATAGGAAGCTAGAAAAGAATATGTCAATTTTATTTAAGACACAAAATACCCTGTTGTTTGAAAACGTCACTGCTGCTCTTCGTATATCGCCACAGTAAGTTTCAGTTTAGGCAAATCAAATAGCATGTAACCACAAACATTCTGGAAAATAGTGTAATTTTCTTTTTTTTTTTTGGTATGACTTTATAAGTCACTCCAGAGTATAAGTTGCATTTATTTAGAACGTGGCAAACATCAGGGGAACCTCGTCAGTGCTGCTGTAAGGTTCCTTTGTATTCACTTGCCTCCTTTTTAGCAATCACATGGATCCTATTGGCTTTGGTTTGGAAGTCTGCTAGCAGTTTGTGACACACCAATATCCGTTTTCTAAATCAGTCGGGTCAGGAGCGACTCCGCTCCGCCGTTGTTCTGACGATCTGTGCTACCTTGTCAAATTTTTCTTCCATAGTTAGTGAAGTGCGCGGTGCAGCACAGCGGGGTGGAGACGCCTGCAGTTAATCCATAATGATGAAGAAGCCATTGCATTCTTTAAAGGCCTGCCTACAATCACGTATTTTCCAATTTGGCAACAATCAGGACTTAGCTGCACCGTTGACACATCATTTAAGCACCTAGCCGACTCTGGCCAGCTTCCCTTCAGCCTATAATATAAGTCGTGTGGACTATAAGTCGGAGGACCACCAGAACTATGAAACAAAAACTGGGAATTATAATCTAGAGTAATTTTGACTCCATCTAGTTACATAGACGTTTGAATTATGTATTTGTTTGTCATATACAGCTTTTCTGTTTGACCTAATCTTTATTCCATTTAGAAACACATAATTAGATATAAGTGATTTTAGAAACACCAGACCATTTGTATTATCTGTCCGTAAAGTGCTTCAATTTGAAAGAGCTCTATAATGTGGAGCTTTACAGGGAAGATTCATCTGAACTTTCACCTTGGCTGAAAGATCAACAACTCCCATTTCAACTTTCACAGAAATCGACACAAACAAACAAACGTCAGTAGTTCTGAGTTGCGTTATTTGGTGACACTAACCACCGAACGAAGCTATAAATTAGCCAACGCTGTACAGGTATAGCAGATGTGTTTTGTAAACCTTAATGTCATGAGACATTAAGGTTTACATTATAATTTAACTTGACCATTTCAGTGTAGTCCTGGTTGTAAGCTTAGGGTGGGTGTCTACTGGAAGATTTACCTCAGCATCAGTCTCAAGATGTTTGCAGTTTTTATCTGCTTTTCTTTCAGCTCCTTTCAGTTTCAATTGATTCTCCTCCCTAGACTAAACCTACACCCCAGTTTTCCCATTATAGTCCAGACATGTTGCTCATTATTTCATAGCTCCCATACTTTTACCTCTTCCAGAAAGAATTCCCTTATGGGAATGTTAGATTTTTCCTTAATGATTCATGTACAAATAGGAACACGGACTTATAAAGGAAGATGTGGGGGAGAGACGGATTAAAAATGTCTTTCCAGACATGTCAGGATTGGTTGTCGTTTGATTTCTTTTCTCACAGTTGAAAGTAGGCAAAGTGAGTCAGAACAGAAGTGTCGTCAAATTAAAAGAATGTATTTTCACTGGGTTTCTGACTTGTTTAAATCAAGTAAAATAAAGAACTAATCAATGTGAAATAAACAACACTGGGCTCTTGCCTCAAATGAGAGTATCGACATGGATCCATGTGGCTCCTTGTAATTACTTTGGTCATTTTCATACTTCTCTTCTTTAGCTCCATCTGCAGCACCAGCTCTCTGGAGGGAGGTGGGACTTATTGGCAGGAGCGGATGGAGGCTCATTTCTCTGCTTTGGAAGGTGTGTGTGTGTTTATGTGTGTGTGTGTGTGTGTGTGTGTGTGTGTGTGTGTGTGTGTGTGTGTGTGTGTGTGTATGTTTATGTGTGTCTATCACCTCTCAGCGTTTGACTCATGATTTCTAATGCCAATTTGTTCACCGCACATCCGTTTGAGCTTTAGAGTTTTACAGTTTAATAATCTTTGGATGTGATTAGTTTTCTTAATTGCCATCTTTCGCAGCTGATTTGTTTTTGTATCTCCCTGAAATTACTTTTTTTCCTTTATTGGATTTTTCAAAGCTATTCTGAGACTATTATAAAAGATTTTGCACGGCTTCTTTTTTGTTGGCTTTCATTGCATGGTCATATTATCTGTCATGTCAGAGCAGCTTAATTTGATGTTTCCTTTGTCTCTTTCCTTGTTGTGTGGTATTTAGCCGCTGCCTCGCTTCCTGGCCAACGGCAGAGTTGCCTTCTACAATGTGACTTGTCGGGCAGAGAATCAACTGAATCTTAGCGATTATGGGAGCTGTGGAAAACTGCAGCATGAAACCACATCCTGCAGCTTGCTTCTTCCTGCTGGACGTTGCTCCTGTAGTCTGACGGCGTCCACCTCTGCAGGGACATCGCCCAAAGCCTGGGTCTGGATCTCAGGCTCCTCTGAAAAAGGTAGAGCTACAGCCAGACACGTCACTCTGCAATAGTAAAACGCCTTGAACTTCTCTGCGTTTGGTTGCCGTAAGGCCACAAGCTTCAATTTATTTTACTCGGATGAGAACAAACTAAAAGAGCGTTAATCAGAGTCGCTAAGAGAACAATGGTAGCTTTGATTCAGGTGGATACGTTTCTTGAGTTAAGACAAAGTCTTTCTGAAGAAACTAAATGTAGATCAATTTAAAACTTTAATTCCTAAAGGGAGCGCCGGTGATCCAGCTGTAATTCTGCCACACTTAAATTCCAATGGTTTCTGAAAGGGGAGACGTTGCGCTTTGCAGCCATTACCAGGTTATTACAGTAATCTGAGGAGTCCTGTTTTAATGGATGGCAAATTGCGAAAAATAACTCATTATATATTGAAAGTTCCAGTTGTTATGGATAAATGGGCAAATATATAAACTCACAGGTCATTTAAAGAACTGCATACAATTAAAATAAGCAAAAAAATCCGCCTTTATGACCATGCGGATATTTAAAATTTAGGACATAAAGGATTAAGAAAAAAAACGTAGAGGCTTCATAAGACTTGAGACTGGAAACAAATGCACTTTTATTACAGAAAAGTTCCTTACAATACCCAATTATATTCTCAACAGTGAAGTTTGGTGTTTCAAGACAAAATGTGAAAAAGTTCAACAAATATACTTTCTGTATCGTTGCATTGAGGTCTTTGGTTTCTCAACTCTGTTGGCTGAGGCCAGATGGAGCACAAAGTAGAGGCTGTCTGAACCATTGTGCATGCTTGTCATGAACATCGAGATGACTTATGAAATATGACAGTGCAACAATAATGTTCACTGATCGGCAAGGTGAGCTGAGTCAGACGTCAACAACTGATTACGTGAATCATTGCTTTGCCATTATTGTCGGCATCCGCTTTGTTTTCTCCGTGCCTCCAGAGCCGCCGCCTCCGGCCGAGCTCACGGCCACGCCGCTGGGTGACGGCAGCTTGGGGGTTCGCTGGAGGTCTCCGCCGGATCCGTCAGTGAGCGGCTTCGTGGTGGAGTGGGTGGCAGTCAGAGAGAAAACCAGCAGCGTTCTGCACTGGGAAACGCTGAATAGTTCCTCTACAAAGCTGATCATCACAGGTAGCCCAGCTGAATCTTCTCTTCGGCGTTGGGAAACCATCTTGATTAGATGTTTGTTTCATGACGGACATTTTTATATCTTTTTAGAGGGAGTGAAGACAATGGAACGTTACGCTGTCTCTGTCAAGGCTCTGTATGGCGAACAAGGAGTAGGAGAAAATATAACAGTCCATGTTTATACGCAGGAAGGAAGTATGTGATCCACACAGCATATGAAGAGATAAAATGAAAATGTCTTTTATATTCGAGGAAAAATTGGGACACCACTTAATATTTAGCCTTACCCTCTTAAGCTGGAAGAACTGGAAGGAGACACTTCTTGTAGCAACATGTTGGTGTTTGACGTTGAACATTTTCCTGACTCCTCACTTTTCCTGACTCCTCACTTTCATGAAACTGAAAGTGAGGAGTCAGGAAAATGTGATAGTTTTGAGCAATTGTCATGTTGGAGGCTCAAATTCTGCTTTAGCTGTCAAACATGATCTTACATGTTTTCTCAAGTTTCCTTCAATATACAAAACAACTCATGGTTCTGTAATGGTGAGCAAGTCATGGCTTATTAAGAAAGTAAAAATGAGATTTTGGCTTTCTTTGAAAAACCTCTGCAAATAGTCTGCAGAAGTGTTCTGCACCAGCACAAGAAAAGTGTTGGTGCAGAACACTTTTCTTGTTTGTTTTTGTAAAATTACTAGTGAAATCATTTAAAATCTTAACTTGAAGCTGTTCAGTTTTGAACTAAAATGATCAACTGTGGTTCAAATGTAAAAAAAAAAAAAACACTAAAATAATCTTTACTTTTTTCACTGATTCTCCGATCAGACCTCACCTGCAGTGAACAAGACATGTCTCCACCCAGTACTTGGACTGCACCGTTCAAAGGGACTACACATGAAAATTAGCTGTAGGAAACTCCTTCATTGTACTACTGTACTTGCCTCGTCTTTTTTTATATGTTTCACTGCTTAAACAGCTGCTTCTTATACATTAACCCTCTTTCAAAACATGTTTCTGATCTGTATCCAATGACAAGAATTGTTGAAATCTTACATTTTAAGCCTGGCGGGTAAACAGGCTTTACTTGCAACCCCACCAGGCTAAGCATTGTTTGTTTGTTTGTTTTATGTTTGCAAGAACATTAAAAGGACTTTATGGTTGTTGTTGGTGATATACAAGACTTAACAATACCTAATTACCAGGTAATATTTTCAAATTTCCTAAAAATGTGAAACTTTATTAAGTCAACAACACAGTAAGCCATGGGATGATTGCTCTAGCGCCCCCTACTACCAGGCTTGGCAAGTTTTCTGAGGGGAAACCCTAAATTCATCAGTATAAGAAACTTAGTAGTTTAGTTCATTTTTATTCATTGCCTCCTTCACTCCTCCTCCTGACAGCGACAGAGCAACATTTTGCAAAACTTGCATTTTAAACGTGTTCAAACTCAGACGGGTGTTTTTAAAGGAAAACCTGTAACATTTCTCCGCCCGTCCTGCATCCGCAGCGCCCTCAGCTGGTCCTGATGTGCGGGTGGAGCACATTTCTGAGAGCTCAGTGGAGCTCAGCTGGAGTCCCGTCCCTGTGGAGCAGCTTCATGGCTTCATTCGGAGCTACACCCTCTTCTGCACCAGCAGAAACCGGTTGGAAAAGAGTGAGCAAAGAGTCACACACTGAGCATTCACTCGCTCGGATATCCAGACTGCTGCTGAATTTTCATTCGGTCTTGTCACAATGCTGACATATTTGCTGTGTTTTTTTTTATTTACTTTTTATTTTGTGATGCCATCTCAACAGTGACTGTGAAAGAAACTGCAAGAGAATTTTATGTTATAGACCAACACAAAGTAGGGGATAAAGAAACAAAATGATACCTGGTTATAATTGTTGGTTAGTTAGTTAGTTAGTTAGTTAGTTAGTTAGTTAGTTAGTTAGTTAGTTAGTTAGTTAGTTTAGTTGATCCTATGCAATTTATGTGACCTTCTTTGCACATTTAGTGTATTTTTCTAAACTAGAGCTGCAACTAATGGTTAGTTTAGTAACCAGTTATTCTGGTGATCAATCAATTAACTGGATAAAAAGATTTTTGCTTTTTTTTTTTTTTAACTTTAAAAATTCATGATATAACATTGAGATTAAATCGCACTATCGACAATACTGGACTCTTTTCTAAGCCAACACTGGATTTTATTTGGGTGTTTCAGAGTGGTAGGGGCTGAACACATGTGCAAGCCACACTTTTCAGATAATCTTACTTATTTGTGGAGTTTATTTGTTTTCTTTGTCTCATAAAATCAAAGTGAAAATCATGTTTGTGGGATATGGACGCTTTGACGTTGAACTAAATGAAACTATTGTCACTGTTTTCTCAGGTGTCACTGTGCCAGGCCACATCCACCGCTGCACTCTGGAGAATATGTCGCCTGGTATTTATGACATATTCATTCGCGCCAGCACCGTTGCCGGTACTGGTCCAGCTGGGAACCCGGCTAACGTTCACATTGGTAAAGCTCAACATGAGCTCAATGTCAGCAAACGGCGTAACGCTGCAAATCGTTTACTGTGATGGTTTTAACTCGGCTCCATGTGTGTGAAGGCTCTGAGGAAATATCGATAGTGATCTGCATCATCGTTCCACTGCTGCTGATTTCACTGGTGCTGATTCTGATACTCCTTCTGACTCAGAGGAGAGAGTAAGATAAAATGTTGTGTTTTGGTTCTCGTAGTAAAGCAGAAACCTTTCTTTATGATGTGTATGTTTTATTTTAATAATCCTTCCTCTGCATATTAAGGATAAAGAAGAAGCTCTTTCATGGAGTGCCAGATCCTTCTAACAGCACCGTGTCCCAGTGGAAACCTCAAACCAGCTGTGAGGTAACGTGGCTCCGAAAATGTTCAGATCGTTTTATTTTAAGAAAATGATAAAACTTTATGAAACATATGTTTTGGATTTTATTACTACCCAGTTTGGTTAATTTCAATAAAAATGTTCAGTTCAGTCTCTTTAAATTCAGTTTAAGGACACAATTCAGTTTAACATTTGGTTTAATTGAATTCATTAACATTCGGTCACAGCTGTCTGCTATGATTCAGTTTGGTTCAAACCATTAAAACTTAATTTCCAATCTATTTCAGTTCAGTTTAGTTCAGTAACTTGATTTAAAGGAACATATTGAGTAACATAATGTATGTTTTCTTCTCTACATACTTTCAGCCTGCAGAAGTTTTTATCTCTGTAGTATCCTGTGGGTTTGGAGGTTCTGGATCTGCAGCTAGATGCTTGTATCTGTCGTGCAGCAGACACGTAAAATAACTTGTATGTTTTAACCTCAGAATAAGAAGCTGATTATGGAACAAGAGAAGCCAGAAGTGAGCTTCCCTGAAGTCACCGAGAGGCAAGATCTACAGCGGGCCCACGTCTCCTTACCCATCTGCAGAACTCAGCTCTTTCTCGACCCGCAGCCCTCCTCTTTCCTAGCCGGAGGAATGACAGATAGAAGCTATATCGCGAATGTGACCAAGACCCAGTCTGCCAATGATCTTTCCACCAGGCCCTACAGCTATTCCACTGTCCTCTTCAACCAGTTCAACCAGAACCTGCCGTCCTCGCCGCAGGCCGGCCAGAATCCCGATATCTACCGGAGTGACATCAAGCAGCCAGCAGATGGAGTCAGTGAGTCACCAGTCTTCCCATTTACAGAATCGGAAGAACAGAAAGCTTTCGCTGTTTTTCTGGACCGGCTTAAAAGCTTTCAGTCTTCACCGGACTTCAGCAGTACTCCTCTTTCCTCCGTCTCACTTCCTTATCAGACTGATTCACCGAGGTTAAACTCAATGCTGTCAGCTTACAGGAAACTTCCCTCTGACAGCTTTGCATCAACTTTTCCCTCTCTTGCCTTTATGAATTTATTCTCATCCCCTGTGGAGTTTGGTCCTTACCTCTCCTCTGATCGCTAGATTAAGATTTAAGATTATTTCCAAAAACCAAGACGTTATTTTCTAGTTAGAAGTGTCATAGATCTCTCTCAAAATATAATTACAATGGGGTATCTTTTCAGAAACAGATCACATCTTAGTTTTTATTTATTCATTCATTTTAAAAAAAATGACATGTCAAAAAATTATTTATATCTTTCTGTCACTGGAAAAGTTTTCAATGCTTTTTGTTTACCTGCTCTGGTATTTTTTGCTATGAGCTCAACGTTTTCCAGGCTGGTTTGCACCTTCAGTGAACCAGCCAGTCACATTAAGGTCATTAAGGTCATGTTTTGGTCAAAACATATTAGCAAATAATGACTGTAGTAACTGACTAATAATAATGATTCTGCCAAATAAATTTGTGGAATTCAACGTCAGATAAAGTAAATATAGTTACTGTCGTTGAAACAGTGAAAACTTGATGGAAAGTTTGTTAAATTTACAAAAGAAGTGTGTGAATGTGTGTGTGTGTGTGAGTGGGAGGCACTTTGGGTTTGATAAAGCGCTGTACAAGTGCAGAGCATTTACTGTTTCACTTTATGCTGGGGAATGAAATGTATGTCTTAAACTGTAAATAGCAAACTGTTGTGCCTTCAACTTTCACTCGAATGTATAAGAATGTTTAAAACCTTTACTTCTGTTTATGGAAACCAATGCTTTCCCTTTGTTGATTGGTGGGATTTTGCGTGTACAGATTTGACTCTAAAATCTTGCGTAATTTTGATGTAACTGCATTCCAGCATGGCAAGCAAGCAGTTGTATTTTTGTTTCTTGTTTTCTGATCAAACTTCTTTTGTTTCCTCTAACATTGCTGCATTTTGGAGAGTGAACTCAGAATGTGAAAAACCTTCTACATCTCATTTGTATATCTGCAAAAAAGAAAAACCTACTACAGTAGGATTCAGCTTCAAAGAAAGGAGGCATGTTTATAGCATATTTGAAATAGCAATTTGTCATTTGTGATTATATGAAAACATCTGCCTTGTCTGTAAAGCTTTTTTTTGGCTGGAAAAATGTTGACACCGCTTGATTGACGCTCATTATTTGACATAAAGTTTAAAATATTTAGCAGAAATTAAAATTACCTTAGGTGTGAAAAAAAAACATTACACAGAGGAATTTATTTTAGTTACTGTGATATAGAGAGTTGAAATGCGTGCTTTCTTGTCCTTTATATTTTGAAGAAGTGGTTAAAAAGTGTGACCATGTAACATTAAAACCAGATTACAACATTTTCCTGTTTTTAGTTCAGTTCGATTCTTTTTTTACTTGATGGAGCTTTTCTAACTAATATGCAGAAAAAGAGTCACTGTTTCAACCCTGACACCTGCTGGCCAGCTAAAGCTACTGCACCCTCCCGACACTTTAACTGACCTTGATAAGAAAAGTGCAGAAGAGACTGTGATCGTAGATCCAACAGCTGCTTTTGGAGTGATATATTCAAGACTTAATTTACTGACATGATTCCACACATTTTGGATCACAGACACACCTTCCTCTGGGACACACAACCAGAGAACCAAAGGCTGATTTCTTTGGATTTTATCGTCATGCCAAATGGAGGCAGAGTGTTTGAGGGTTTTACCTTAAACTGCCTCCACAACTGGGTCTTCCTTTAACTCAGATGTTGTTAATTACTCTGACACAAAGTCTAGGACGTCTTTGCTCAAAGGCACAGTGATGTCAGCGTGTGTAAGCTTCTACATTTGAAGAAAGCAACGTGAATCATTCCAAAACTTTCTCCCATTGTTCTGAATCAAACAAATGGAAATATTTTGAAGCTGACTAAACAATCAGCTGGACTAAGCTGCCGTCCTGAATCCACACCAGGTGATTCTTGTGAGGTCAGGGTTGCGTCACGTCGGAAAGTATTTACATTGTTGCTGATCGTGTGTCGTTTTCACCAGGCGGTCGGAGCTGCATTGACGGGATTGTGGTTTTATCTGCTTGATTGGGTTTCAGAGACGTTCACTGAAAGTAATTGCATCAGGTTTATTCTACATCCTTTAATTCAGAGCCACTTACACTCCTGTCAGGTGACTCAACTTCGGACTCTCCTAATCATTTCGGGACAACGTGTGCACTTTAACACCATTTTCATTTGGTTGGTTTTCTTTCCCTTTCTTTTCTTTTTCTTCCTTTTCTTTTACAGAATATAGGAAACAATTGCAACAACCCTGCACAACTAAAAGGTCTTTGGTTTGTTTGGCTTCTCCACCCTTCAAACTTGCCTAAGAGGCTCCCATGGGAGCAGCCTTTGTTTGTATGTTAGTTCAGCATTTACTCAATCATATAACGAAGCCCCAACATGCGTCACTCAAGCTCTAGACTCAGATTTCTTTACATTTAATCATGAAGTTAATTTAAATTGTACACAACACCAGAAACCATGAGTTTTAACTCATTGCATTTTAACGCAACGTGGATCCAACGGCGAGATTTTCTGACCCACAACTTTGCTGCTTCATTAAACACTGTGAAAAAAATATATATATAACATATGAACACAGAGATAACTTAGCAGTTATGTCTATTACACGAGGTGTTAGATTTCTCATCAAACTTACGACTGGAAACAAACAAAGGTTTGCCTCTGCTGCTCTCAAGTGTGTCAAAGTAGGAAGAAATACACATCTGCATTTTTTATAGACTCACCTCCTGGCAGGTCAGAGATTCTTTCTCACTAACTCGCCTGCATGGAGACTCACGTTTCTACCAAATTGTTTTACAAAGATTTTTACATCTTCAGCTTAAGTCAGATCGGATAAGTAGAGTCTGCAAACATCAGCTCTGTAAGATGCCCAAAGGTTGGAATAGTGTTTTAGAACATGATGCTGCCTTAAGCGTCTCCATTTCTTTCTGCCTGACCTCTGGTCCTTAGTCTTCATAATCCTGATTGGTCAATAATGTTCCCTAAAATTTAATTGGCAAGTTAGAAAGAAAAGATTATTTCACATCTTCAGATTTCAAGCCTCTGGGCTGACATCCCAGCTCAGTGTCGGTCAACAGGTGATATGTTTGATGCACTCAGGGAGTATTGTGTGTTTGGGCCAAGCGTTCAAACTATGTTGCACACTTTTCATCATCATTAACAGAAGAAAAGCTCTGGAATAGACTCCCATCACATCTGGCTAACAGACTAACTTGTAGAAAGCAGCCAGCTGTCTACAAATTGTGAAAACTAAAGTTTCTGCTTCCGTTTTTAAAAGAAGGTCTGATGCTTTTTATGATCGAGGTATATATAAGGTTTTCTATAAGTTTCTATGTATAGGAGAATGTAAAATGTATATTTCTTTTATATTTCAGATTCCCAAGAAGGTGCGTTTGACAAAAGAGCGAAGAATTTAAATTATACCGACGGCTGAATTGGGAAGCGGTCGCATGGTTGAACGAAACTTTAACAGAAAACATGGAACGAGCATCGTACACGACACCGTGGCAAAACTTATTTGCAAGTTTCAGAAAACTGGGATTGCTGCAGACCAAACAAGAAATAGTCCAAAGTCTCACAAAAATAAAAACAATATAAAATGTTTATTTTTTTCTATGTATGGATATATATGGCCCATGATGGGACATTGTGCCCATGTTTAAGCCAGATCCGTTCTCCTCAACTAGCTTTCACATGGAGTCAAAAACAGATCTGCAAGAGAAAATCACTAAAGATTTTAATTTTGGCATCACATCATATTAATGACTTTATGGGGAAGTGGTTTTCGAGCACGTTGAGGCTTTGGTTTTGTATGTAGCTTGAGTTTTGTTGAATTGTTTCCACTTTCAAAAGCAAACTGAAACCCCTTTCTCTTCTCCCAGCCTGTGGCTGGTTCTGGTGCAAAAACGGGCGGATGTTTACTGGAACAAGACGTTACTGGAAACGAGACCTGCAGTAAATTACCAGCCGAAACATTTGCACAGGTCAAATTCCATACATGGCTGATAATTAAATAGGAAAACTTATTGCATTAAAATGTTAAAAATAAGTAAATAGGAAAGTGTTGCGGTCTTGGATGAGCCATAAAAAATATGTGGAGTTTACTGGATCTTCGACTCAAATCTGCTCCAGATTTGAGTTGTTCAGTAAGAATCGACTGAGAAATTTAGATGAGTTTAGATATTTAAACAAATATTGTTGAAAAAAATGACCTCAAACTTTTTAAATGTCATGAAAAATCATGACATTTATACTCCATGGCAGCTTGAACTCTTTGAAATGCTTGGAGATTTTGAACATAAATCTGGTGAGCTCCACCAGAACCAGTTCTGATGTTGGTCAAACTGAGCTCTGCTCAAGGTGACATTAGAAAGGGGGTTGCTCCACAGCAAAACAAAATTATAGTCAGTCCTCCTTCAAGGTGGTTTTGGTATCTGATCCTGAGGTTAATACTGAAGATTAAACCAAAGTATATTTGAGTTTTTGAAGGATTCTGGACAGGATTTGACTGTCAGAGCACAACGTCATTGATATTATTCTGCAGTAAACAAAGGTTATTATTTACAGAATCAAATTTGTTTTCTTAATATATATATAGAAAATCTGATTCTGTTTGTGAAAAGCATTGCTTTCTTGGCATTTAACCTGAACTGAGTCTGAAATGCAAGCTGTGAAAATGAATCAGATCTCAGACAACCTCTGGGTAGTAGCTACTAGCTCCATTCACTTGTGTAACATTTAGAGAAAAAAACCCCAAAACTTTCACCAGTATTTTTACAAAGCTGTATTTTTTACTTTTACTTGCATAATCTTATTATAAAGTATCGCTATTCTTACTTGAGTACAATTTTTGGATACTGCGAGTAACTTCACTGAATGAAGAATGAACCCATTTCTTCTCTTTTTTTTCAGTTTTTTAATTTTTATTAAAATTGAATAAGTTTTATATAGAAAGGAACAAAATTGGAAAATGTTTATTTTACTTGATTTTGTCGTCATGTTATTTATATTAATTGTTAATTCTTTAAAATACCAACATTTCCACATAACTTTATTCTTTAGTCTACTTGAATATTTAGCTATTAAATAATCAATGCTTCAGTTGACATGGAGATTAAAGGATTTCTCAAACATGCGAGGAAGAATCAAAGCAGCAACAAGGAGCATCATCATAGCATGACGTAAAGCTATATAAAAAAAGTCAATTTAACGTGACACGGCCCCTTTAAGAATATCGTAGCGAGGAGAAAACAGGGAATAGAATAAAGTTTTCTCCTTTTAGCCACAAAAAGAGTCTTGGCGAACTGAAGCGACCGCTTTGAATCTTCCCGCGCTGGGAGCCGCGCCCCTCCGTGGGGGCGGTCCACGCTGCGCACCTGAAGCAGCCCTCCTACAATCAGTCAGTCAGGGAAGCAGGCCGCCACACGGGTGGGAGGTCAGGTACACGCAGCGGCGGAGCAGGAAGAGCAACCAGGTCGTTTTGTTTTATTTATTTATTTTTTTCCCACCCTCCCTTTTTTTTTTCTTCTGGAGTGTTTCATTTCCACGCACGCGCTCCCGCAGCCAGGCGCTCCCCTCAGCCCACCTGCGTTTTTAGCGACGCGGTTTAGTTCGGGAAAAGCTGGAGGAAACATGTTAGAAGACAAGAAAAAGCTGCTCTTCATCGTGGCGGATGTTCTGTGCGTGTTTTTCGGTGAGTGGCCGCAGTTTGTTTCCTCGCTTTTTGTTTGTTTGTTTGTTTGGACGGTGGCCGGGACCGGGGTCGGTTTCACTCCGCGTGCGCGCAGCCAGCTGCAGCACGAGGGGGGGAGAAAAGGACTGCTCGACAGAGACTCGTTTGATTTGTCGTGGGTGAAAACTGTTGCTCCACCAGATAAAAGGGCAAAAAGTGAAACTGATCCTGTGAAAAGTGTTGCTCGTCAGGTGGCACAGCTGTGGATTTATTTAACCAAGGAATGGGTCTTTAAAGCCAAACGGAATATCCCTCAACACGGAGTGATCTTGATGCGCATTGGCGTCTTTCACTGAAATAATAATAATCTGCAATACTTGATTTATTTATTTATGTATTTTTATCTCATTTATTATCCTCCTCCTTGTTTTACGAAACCATCTCTTGTAAATGTATCCAGGTGGGTGTGTGGAGTTGGTGCCATCTTCTCTGCACTTTAAATGCAATCCAGTACATTTTCCTTAAATAAATGTACCCTGACAGGACTAATAAAAGCACAGCCTGGTGGTAAAGTGGAGGTTTTAGAAGTTTCCGAAACCGTTTTATCGAAAGGACATGGTGTGGACACAAAGGCTAATTAATGTGGGTCAATGACACCATAAGTGGTGCAACAGTCACCCGCCCTTTGACCTCCACTTCATACTTACACATTGCCATTTTGTTCATGTAAATAATTAATTTGCATCTATGGGTCTAAGTTTTCTTTTCTGCTGTATTTCCATATTTTTATGAGCTGTGGAGATGCACTGGCCTAAAAAAGCTGAAATTTTATGTCTAATTTTAATTCACTTGCATTAGTTTCTATTGTTTGTATTTTTTATAATGGTCATTATTCTGATTCTGTCTGGGCTTGTTCAGTCTTATATATTGTGACAGATAAAAACCAAAATATCTCTAAGTGCCTATAAACAGAAAATGACTTTAATTGGTTTTAACAGTACTTTAAACAGTACTTTTAATTCACAATGTTAACTAAAGTTTAAAAATAAAAAAAACTTTTGGACAATGCCTTCCATTTGTGTCCTAGATTATGAATATTCCTGCGTTCTCTCAGTTGATCAACAGGGTCTTGACATTTCCAGGTTCTGTTTAAGGCCAATGGTTTGAAAGTCCAAAAGAACCAAAAACAACAAAGTTCATTTTGCCGCTGAAGCTCCTCATTGTTGTTGTTTCGTGGCGTCTGAGGTTACACTACTGTCATAGCTAAACATCAATATCTGGTCCAGGAATGTCGGTACTGGATCAGAAACAGACGTTGGTTCAGATCCGGCACACAAAATCTCATTGGTCACAAACCATATTTTGAGTTTTGACTGCATGGTCCTTTTCAAAAATGTTAATTTTGATGTCTAAACCCCTGCTCAAGAGTTTTCCAGAAGAAAACAAACGTATCTGAAAGCGAGATTAGGTTTAAAAATCAAAAATGTAAACTGATGAACACACCTGAAGGGTTTCTGCCAGTGTACTATAAGCCTGGTGGGCCTCCAGGCTTTACTTGTGCCCCTGACAGGCTAGGCATTGCTTATTTATAAAAACATATTTTTTTAAATGTTTGCATTTTTTTAAGACTTTATAGTTGGTGTTCAGATATGAATCTTCCAACAACACATAATTTTCAAGTGGTATTTTCAAATTTCCTGTCAACTCCAAACATTTTTAACTCATAGACATGGTGGGCCGCTGGGTGAATGACTTCTGAGCGTCCCAACCACCAGGCTGGGGAAACCTCGCAGTTGCCTTATGTGATGTGACCTGATGCATATATGCATGGATAAATGTTTATGTTGATTAAATAACGATTCCTGACAAAGTCGTTAAATAAATGGATGACAAATTTTAACATACAAGTCTGGTTAAGGGCTTTAAAACAATCAGGAAGAACAAAAATATCTGTCGCTGATTCTTCCTGACGGTTAAGATCCTGTTTTGGAAACCGCAGATTATGTGTGTTATTGTATCACTGTGAGTCCATCCATCCCACATGGAAAAGTCTTTGTTAAAACATTTTTTCATGACTTTAAAGGCCCCATTCAGGAGGGGTGTGTGTGTGAAGGGGGGTGGGATGGGGTGACAGCTTGTCAAACCTCACAGAGACCCAAAGGTGGGCGCTCATGCATGTTGCTCAGGGTGGGCTCTGCTTGTGTGCAGGAGCGAGTCGCGCACAGGCAACAAAGCGACCCGCTGCAACTTGCTCTGCTGCCTGGCTTTCACCCAAAGCCATCAGTGGCTTGTCTTCCAGCTGTTTGCGTCACGCTGGACGCGTTTCTGACACCGCGATCCCGCTGAACGTCTGTGATGACCACCCGATGTCGGATTCTGACTTCGCTTGATTTTCTGCAGCTGCTTGTCGGGGGTCAGGAAAAGCAGAGAGTTCCAGCTGGAAGATTACAGGATTTATTTGTGGCCTTTGCATGTTTGCCTCCGCTTGTGGATGCTTCTGCTGAGTGACATGGAAGAATGATAATGACTGCAGAATCTGCTGTAAATGTTCTTCTGTTTATAGGAAAAAGCTTGATTTAAACTAGCTTTTTCCTGAGTTACTCAATAAAGACGGCCCGAGTCATTCTAATCTGAGTGGTCAGACGAAATGTTATGACCACTGGCAGATTGGGTGAATAACTCTGATCATAGCAAGGCAATTCGTTCATACGCAGGGTAATATAAAGTCCTTCACTAATAAAATGCAGAGAAATGGAGCTGAATGAAGCAACACGTTTAGTAAAAGCATGAAAACACTGAGAGTTCATCACAAAAAAGAAACAAAATGATCAAATATAAGCAAATAAACATATGACATAACATAACGTTTTTATAGAAACGCTGCAGTAAATCAAAACATTCAAAGGATCCAGCAAGTTTTGTGCATCTGGGGTTTTCAGGCAGATCTTCAGGCAGGTCTTCTGCCTGGACCTTACCTGACCAGGAGTAAATCAGACATATTCATGACTAAGAACATCAACGAGACTTCAAGATCGATCCTTTGACAAACAGGGAGCCGGTGCAGGCAGGTTTATTCAGCTCTTTAGTTCTTGGTGTGGTTTGAATGCTGAGCCCTGATTAAGAACATTTTGTGACCAAAACCAATAACTTCTGTCTCTTCTGCATCAACACTCTGGCTAAAGGACATTATTAGAGATGGATAAGATATCGTAAAGTCACAATATGACTTCACAATATCACAAATAATAGATTGAATGGAGATAAATAAGCGCTATGCACTGAGGCTCTCTACGCTTATTGTATATTTGGTGAGCCTTGTTATCTTAATGCACCATCAAATGGTTTTGGAAGGTAAATTGGTGATAAATTCATTAGGAAATTCGGTAACACTTTATGTGAAGTCTCGTATGACATGACCGATTCTTCGTAAATGTTTACATTTACGAAGAGTCTGAAGCGTCATTTGGTAAATAATGGCACTTTTAATGCCAAGTTCTACTAAAATTTGCATGAAAATTTTCTTAAAAGCCTGAACTTTGTATTAAAATGGTCATTATTGTCTAAAAAATGCAAAGTTCCATTAAATCTTGCAATAAAATTGTCAACTTTGCATTAAATGTCATAATTTATGGAATGACACTTGATGGCAACAGCCATCCATGACGAGTCCTTCATGTTTACACGGATAATTATTAGGATTTGTTTAAGTTTTTCTGGACCCAAACTGAGTTGAAGAGTCCTCTGCCGACATGTTGGAGGCTGAAACACCAGAACACCTTCAGGGGTCTCGTAGGGCCGGTAGGTACCTCAACCAAAACGGGGCACCGACGCGTTTTTAGACGAGCGGTCGTAATGATCTGCCTGATTGGTGTAGCACCTTGTTGTGAAAGCGGAGGTGAGTCATTGTTGTGATGAGGAAGAGTTGTGAAGGCGAGTTTTCCCATCTGACAAGTTCACACAGCTTCCTAAATGTCCTGGATTTCTCTGTTGTTTTTTGTACTTGTAACCATATATGATTAAATCTTTGTCACTGGCTGATGAACGATGACAGCAGAAATGCATTCTTGCACCTTTCTGGTTCATGTTTAATCTGGTTAATATAAAAAAGGGAAAGGATATTCTCTTCTTCTGGATTTCAGTCTCTCTCCATGTGTTGTTGATCACTCTGGCACTTTAAATCTTACAAAACAGATGATAAAATTGCCAAATTTCTCTCCTGATGAACTCTTTCTAAATTCCTGAGTTTTTATTTTTTATCCACATTTCTTGATACCAAGTGTTGGACTTCTGTATTGGTTTCTCACTAAATTTGAATATTGGCAGATCCCTCCCCCGCTCCCATCACATCTTATGTAGCTTTATGAAAAGGTAGATATGACGCCACTTTTTAAACTACACCAGTTAGAAACACAAGCAGAAAAACTCCTGCAACAGTTTAGTCAAAAGTGACTTTATCCTTGTAACATGACCCTTCAGCTTGTTGTTTTGTTTGTGAGAAAAACAGGTTTGACTAGCTATTGTAAGAACAACTACAGTTGTTTTACGCACTAATCATGTAGGTCAGTTTTAGCTTTATGCATTTAAATATCTTGAGTGTTTATGTGAGTCATTCTTTTTTTCAGTGAAATGGATACAGAGCATAGAATAATGATTTTGATTTATGCAGAAGTTATGTTTTTGGGAAAATGCATTTTATAGACGTATAAAAACACACAAAAATGTTAAAAACTGAACGATGCAAAACAATTCTTTCGACTGTGACAGTTTAGATTGGTAAAAGTTTTACCGCGACTGAACAATGATCTCTAAAGTAACTTTAAAACCTGATTAGTCAGTGCATCATGTTTTCTGAGTACATTTCCCAAAGTTTGAACTTTCTTTTTTGTGGTTTTGTTTTGAATGTGAAAGTATCTTTCAGAGGAAAGAAGCTGATAAATATTGTTTCAGTGTTTTTATTCCTTCCTCTTCCGTTCTGCACACAAGCCTCCGCCCAGTGGCTCTCATCTGTCGCCACTGCATGC